TGGTAACCAGTTCAGGATTTGTCACCTCATCTGATGTATCACCACTATGTATGCACATACATTAAAAGCTGTGCCAGAAATGCCCTTTACCTGCTTCTCTGGCTTCTGCAGAAATGGCTGCCTATCCCTGCAGGCTAACACCGTCTCCATCCAATAGAGTTTATGATCTGAACCCTAGCTACAGTCCTTTGTTAAACTGTGTTGTTTATTGACTCTTATTCTGTGCCATGAATTATGCTGGGTGATTTATGCCTATTATTCCTTTTACTAGTCACATAAAGTCATCCAGGCTAATTATAGACAAGCAAATCAAGGGTTTAGGCAATCTTAACTTGTCCAAGCCAGTTTGTGTCTCCTCCCACATCCAACACTCACAAATGTTCTACAGCAGTGGCTCCTACTGGAGGCAGGCACCAAGGAGCACACTCCTGTGTGTCACAGGCAGGGGGCTGTCACTTAGAGCAGATTTTATTTTTACACCTCTCCAGGCCCTTAAGGATACCTTCCGCTTCAGAGCCGTGGTTCTCCGAACATACGGTGTGGAGTGAGCTGCCCTGAGGGCCTGGCTGGCTGATCCAGAGCCTTTAACTGGAATTGAGAGGAAATGTCAGGAAGTGGGAGGGCCTCTGTTATCTGCAGACAAGAGACTGACCTGGGTGGGGAATCAGGAGGGGCATCCTGCCTGGCTCTCTATGACTGGCTAGCAGAGAGCTAAGGGCCAGGTGCCAAATGCAGGACACATGGTTCCGTCGATTGGCACATTCCGTCGAATGGAAGGGAAGCATTTTCTCGTGCATCCAAAACATGTTATCATCAGAGAATGATGAGTAGACACCCAGCGTTTGGGGTATGTGACAATGAAGGGGCTCTTGGGGGACAAAGACATGGCTTAGTAGGTGGGAGTGCTTGCTGTGTAAGCATGGGAATCTGAGTTCAAAATACCAAGGACCATCTACAAAAGCTGAGCACAGCCACATGTACTTGTAACCCTAATGTTAGGCAGCGGAGACAGGCAGACTCTAAGAGCTCACTAGCCAACAAACCTAGCTGAAACAGAAGTTCTGGTTCAGCGGGAAACCCTATCTCTGGGATGTAAGGTCAAGAGTGACAGGCAAAGACACCTGACATCCTGTTCTGGCCTCCTCTTGTCTCTGCATACTGTGTGCACAGCTTGAGCACACAAACACATGTGTATGTACACGCCACACACATGTACATACCACACCACACACATGCACACACGCACATGCTCATGTACACACATGCACGCACATGCACACACATGCACAGACACATGCACACTCACACATGCACATACATGCATACATAAGCACACACATGCACACACACAATACACACATGCACGTGCGTACACACACACACACACACACACACACACACACACACACACACACGATTTGGCCTGGCCTGGGATGTAGATCAATGGTAGAGCACTTTCCATTTACCAAGAAAAAGAAGAAAAGGAAGGTGAGCGCGCCATGCATTGGAGATCACACAGGGGTGTGCATGGGGGAGGGATACCCTCCCCCACCCCACCCTCACCACCTGTGGTGGGTGGGTGAGCTGACTTTGAGGGCTTGAAAGCAGGAGCAGACAGGACCCTTGCTTCTTGCTGCAGAGAGCATCTAGCCAGGGCAGTGACGCAGAGCTCACTGCGGTGGTGAGGATGAGGGAGAGACGGCAGGCTGAACCACCCTGCAACCACCCAGGCCCAGCTCCAGGGCTACGAGTTGGCCCTCCCTAACATCCACCCCATCTGTGATCTGCTGGAGCACCTGAAGGGGCTGGTCCTGCAGACCCAAAGCCGCAGGGTCTCCACGACACAGGACAACAGGACATCCAGGAGGGGCCCCAGCAGAAGCCAGAGGCCTCGAACCACATCAACGACTCACTGCAATGAACACTTGCAAGAAAAGTTATATCTACTAAACAATTTACTATGTGACTCACGTGTCACACTACAGTGTCCGTGGTAAGTTTTCTCTTTATTTCTTTTCCTATTAAATTTTATTATTTTTGTGGGGGGGGAGGTCGCAGGGGTGGAGGGTGGACACAAAGGGGCATGGGTATGAATGGGGTCAAGATGCAAGGTGTGAAAGACAAAGAATGAATAAAAAGTTTTTTAAAAAAAGAAAATATTTTTTTGGAGGGGGTAGTAACATGTTCAATGGGCAATACCTGCTTTCATAAAAAGATAATTTTTAAAAGATCTTAGGAAATCTAAATGACAGGAAAGTAGTTTGCAATTGATTAACTACTGTTGATTGAGTTTGTTTGAATACCACATAACCCTGGAGCAATCAGTTTCTCTCCTGCTTGCTGACTTCTGATGGATTTTATTCTTCACGCCGTGAATTTAGGGTCAGTAATCCCAGGAGCAGAATCAAAGACTGTGAAACAAATATTTAGAACTCTGGACTTTCAGCCAGCCCAACCAGCTAAGCTTGGGCTCTGATGATAGCCGGGAGAAAACTCAACCACTGACCAGAAGGCCCAGATCTTCCAAAGGGTCTGCTCAGGTGTCAAAGATTCATTCCTTTGCAGAAAGCAGTCTGGTAGCTATCAGAGGGGTGGGATGCCCAGGTGGCTGGCACAGCCCCCAAGAGTCGGGGAAGGATTCTCTTCTCCTTGTGTGGGGACTTTCGGGAACACTACTGTTTTGTCATTAGCAGAGCCAGCAATTGAGCCTCCATCTTCCAGGCACAATGGACATTGTTTCTAAAGCAATGGTCTTTGTCCTGAGGAAATTGTTCTGTTGTAGACCTAAGATACAGGCTCCCCCGGCTTGGTCTTAACTCTTCTTGCTGAGTAGAAGCCTTATCTCAGACACCGGGTCCCATTGGCTGTGGACAGGGCCTAAGGATACAGTGGGAGGTTGGAAGTTCCTGCCTAGACAGTTAAGAGCTGCTTCCCTTTGCTCCCTGGATGGTTAGTGTAAGGCATGCCCGAGAGGAACGTGGGAGCCAGATCTGAAAGAGAACTTGCATCGTCACTCAGCAAGCCATCCCATACTACTCAGCCCAGGATCCACCTGGTATCTTAGGGCAAGAAACTGGCAAGCTCATAGTTCTCTTCGCTCTACCCCCACTTCACAGAGAAGCAGATAGGCTCCAGACATTCGATGTCTTTCCCCGTAATAGGCCAGGAGCGGGACGTAACGCATCTCACTGACTCTTTTCACTTCTCCAGCATGCCATCTTGCACCCCTCATCCCAGGAGCTAAGTTTCCTTCTTTGCCTCTCATCTTCCCAGAGGGGAAGTTTAAGTGCAGTTATTCCAAACCGTCACCCATTACATTTGACTGAGTTCCTAAATTCAAGGCTGAGTATGTACACTCATGGCATCCACACAACATCAATCTGACAGGGCTGGTGATGTCCTCCTTGTGAAATGGAGAAAACCACAGCACTATCTGACTTGCCAAAGGAGAGAGATTGGTGAAATTTATGAGGAAGGAGGTGTTTCAGTCAAGACATTGCAATTAAGTCTAAGAGGAGAGACATAGCCCCTGTAGTCTATGGGTTTCCTGCTTTCCTTCTGGGTCAGGCCTGAGCCACGGCTGTTGAAGGGTTTGCATCTGAAGGAGGAGAAGCAGTAGCCGATGTCCTTTCCTTGCTCTTTACTTCACACTGTCAGGCCTTCTTCAGTCGTAGTCACTGAGCCTTAGTGCACGGACGATAAGCGAGAACCTCAGATGCAGGTTTCCTGGAGCACACTAGGTTCAGGAAGTCTGGAGTGTGGCCCTAGAAACTGTGTCCCTAACCCCTTCAGGAGACACTGGTAGCTTGAAAGAGGAAGCTTTGAGAACCCTCGCAAGTCTACCACACAAAGATATGTAAGTACCAAACGCATGTGAGAGGTCAGACTTTTCCCAAGCGAGAGCCACGGAAGGTCAGAAGTTGACCCTTTAGATTAGTGTGGTCGGGTCTGGGAAATGGCTGGGCCATCTTACCTAGAATGGCTGTGGCCTTCCAAAATCCCTGGTGTTCCTGTGATATGCCAGGCAGGGAAGAGCTGATGCCATTTAATCTTCTTGCCCTGATCTATGCAGAGAGAAGGTCAATATTTATCCAGAACTAATCAGCTCCTGGTTCTCCAAGCCCAGGAGAGGGAGATAAGGTATGCCTGGTTGGTCTTTCAAAAGCATTCATCTACTTTTTCTAAGGTTTTCCTGTAAAATGGATTGAGCAAGTGCTAACTACCATTGTTACTATGATAACCATGTGGAATCTAAATTCTTATGTATTTGTGCATGCGTGTGCACACATGTGGGTGTCACTGGAGAGACTGCTCTACACCTGCCCACCCCAGGGATTGATTCTCTCTCTCTCAATCTCTCTCTCTCTCTCTCTCTCTCTCTCTCTCTCTCTCTCTCTCTCTCATGTTGGGATTACAGGCACACACCACCATGCTCATCTTTTAAAATGTGTTCTGAGGGTTGAAACATTGGTCTTCAAGCTTGCATAGTGAGTGAACATTTTGCCAAATGAGCTGTCTCCAAGGCCTGAAGACTAATATTGATGGAATGGCTCTTTGTGCAGGCTTTGAACAGAGGACTAGATTTGCATGACCTCCTGTGATCCCCACCACACATGACCTCCTGTGATCCCCACCACACTACTTTGGAGAAGATCTGCACCATTTAGGTCCAAGGTCACACAAATAACATGAAATGCAATTAGCATTGTAGCACCGGCTTTCTTACAATGTAAGTGAACCCTGGGTTTTCACAGAGAGGGTCATGTGACTTGTTTAGTGACAGGAAGGCTGTCAGTGATCAACATCCAGGGACTTTTTTGACTCACCACTTCAGCCTGCTTCCTGTGAGACTCAGAAAGGGACTGTTGATTAGCAGCACTGAACAGAAAACAAGCTGTGGTCTCGGGGGACCTCTCCCCTCTCTTATAAGTTCTGGGCATGAATGCTCAGAAGGCTGAGACTAGCAGGGTTGTGTAACGACACATTGTTAGAGTCTATCCATGGCTTCCAGGGCACTCTCTGAGGTCCCACCAAAATCTCGGTCCTGTGTGGGAGCCGAAACCCATACTGATCACTCGTGTCTGGTTTTGATGCTCTTTGCCATTGCCATAGTCACTTGTCTTGAAGCTGCCAAGCTCACTGTGGGGTTCCACGCCCCCTGGAACATTCATCATCCATTTAGTGTGCAAAGGCTGGGGGCAGGCCTCCAGATCGCCATGGACAAGCTCAACTCAGAGCCAGTGGGCCTTGGGAACTTGAGCTGGGAGTTCACGTACACCAACTCATCATGCAGTGCCAAGGAGTCTCTTGCAGTTTTCATCGACCAGGTTCAGAGAGAACACATTTCTGCTCTGTTTGGACCAGCATGCCCAGAGGCGGCAGAGGTATAGTATGGAGAATTCTAAAAACGTTGTCTGGGTTTCTACTGAAAAGGGTGCACATGCAGTCGAAGATGCCTATTTCATTCATCTGTTCTTTTTGAGTTTTTACATTTTTGATTAAAAGGTTAATTGTATATATTCATTGTACATGGTACTGCACTATATAAGGACATTTTCAGACAAGTATATATTATACATCTAGTCTCATTAGACTGGGCAAAAATCTAATCACAATTGCTGTCTAGGTCCTCATTTCTGTTTTGTTTTGTTTTTGAGAGCATGTAACTAGAGAGTTAAAAGTCTTTAAAGACTTACAAGGAAAAAGGATTAGTTTATGAACCCTGTTTCTCCTGATTGACGTTGGTGTTATGTAGACTCCTTTGTTACTTGCTTATATTGTCAGCCACATGGTTTGGAGAATTTGAGATTGACCAAAAAATGTTTGCTTTTAAATATAACACTATCGGTTGTTAAAGGAGGCTTCCTTTGGTGTGTATAGTAAATTATTCAGGAATGCTGACAGTTCACTGGAGGGAACACAGTGTGACAGCTTTCTTAAAGCTTCAGCAAATGCAGACAAGCTGTTTGTGGTTAATGGAATTTGCTTAGTCAATGTTCTTGGGCACCGCATCATCTGAGAGAAGATGGGGAGGGTGATTAAGGAGATCTCACTCCCCTAATGCTGCAGAATTCTCTGGAACTGTTGCTATAAAATTCAGTTGACCTTTGCATTTGAAATCGCCATGGCCCTACATTTTACACCTCTCTGGCGATTTGAACCCTACTCCTCTTCTTTAAGGTCAGTTTCAAGTGTTGCTGAGGCAACTTCCACTCTCTGCTTTCATCTTACCTGTCCGTAATTCCTCAGTGTGAAGTAATTTATCATCAGTTTGTGTGTGTATCTATCTCTGTGTATATGTATTTCTCTCTCTCTCTCTCTCTCTCTCTCTCTCTCTCTCTCTCTCTGTAGAAAGTCTGAAAAACTGACGAGAAAATATTCTTTATTTCTCCCCCCAGGCACTGAATTCTATTATTTAAGTTCATTTATAACTTTTATTTTATAAGCTTTATTGTAATGAGATTGAAACCTCATATTCATTTTGTAATTTATTCCAATTAAAAATATTGGAAGTTAAAAAATGACATATTTGATTGCTTTCCTAAATACCTATGTATGTATTTGTCTATAAATTCTGTACGGCATATTGCTTTCTAGAACTATTTTTGTATATCTGAGCTCCCATAAGGGGTCATAAGCTTTCTTAAGAAAAAGGTCCTCAAAATTCTTTGCAAATGTAGGATCTTAAAAAAAATACCTGAGAAACAGAATAGGTAAATTCAGGAAGCCTGTAAATGGGGACCTGTGGCTTGAGTTCTGATCACACTCCACGAGTGTTAGCTACATAACTCCCATCCGTATCTCCACACTTTCATCTTTAAGATGGAGCCATGGTCTTTTGTATCCTATAGAAAGGCTAGAAGTTTAAATGAGTGCTCAGTCCTAAGTGGGATGTCTACACCGTGTCCCTTCTCTCAAAGCTCAGGGTCATCAAGGAGGAGGAGGATCAAATCTAGGCGCCAAAGGCCACAACCAAATAGTGCTTTCGGGGCTCAGTACAGAAGTTACATATGAGGAAGAGCTTGCGTTAGCTGTGACAGCTTGCACAAGACTCGTGTAAGACCAAGCCAAGCACAACCTATGCATGGAAGGGAAGGCGGTCAGGATTTCCCACCCTTATCTGAGGAACTACTGGCAACTGTTGGCTGTGGAGAGAGGGAGAATTAGTTCACTTCAAGGATGCAGTCCTTGTGAGGCTCCCTGTGTTTGGGGAGATGGCCTCATACCCCCTTGAGTGCTACCGACTCTGAGTGGACTCATTGGGTTAAAAGACAAAAGAGGAAAAACAAAAAACAAAAAAGAAACAAAGAAAACACAAAATGAAAAACCACATGAAGTTGGGAAGGGATAGTTGTAGGAACAGGAAGGCATTAGAGCAGAAGTAAATGGGGTCGGGTTGATTAAAACACTTTGTATGTGTGTACAAAACTCTCAAACAATTAAAAAAAACAACTTGAAAACTGTTGCAATTACTCAAGTTTGATCACAGTGTTTGTCACAGTATTTTTTTTAAAAAAGAGTTTTCAAAACAGGATTGACATGAACATGAAAGTTCTCGACGGAGGGCTTAGGACGTAGCAAGTGCTTGATAAATCCTTACATTTATTATTCCTGTCACCCGAGGCCCCTGCAGTGCAAACTGTGTGGGACACGTGTTGTTCACATTCCAAAAGAGGAGTTGCAGAAATGGCCCACAGATTCCCCGAGTCTGTTCTCTGCAGACATTGTACATGGCGTGTGAGCGTGGCATAAGCTCTGTTACGGAAAGTCGCCTCCTTGTTCGCTTTCAAGGTTATTGGTTTGCTGGCCGCTGAGTGGAGCATCCCCATGTTCGACTTCGTTGGACAAATGGCAGCACTGGAGGGCCACTTGTGGTGTGGCACCTGTGTGACCCTCGTGCCGCCCAAGCAGGCAATTGTTGCTGTGCTTCAGGAAAGCCTACGGTACCTGGGCTGGGAAGACGTCGGGCTGTTTGGAGGCTACTCCGGGGCTTCCTGCAGTGATGGAGTGGATGAGTTGTGGGAGGCTGTGGAGGATGGATCCCAGCTGCATTTCACCATCATTGCCAGCATGAGGTGCGGTAACAGCAGTCCAGACCTTCTGCAGGAAGACCTCAGAAGCATATTGTCTGTCGCCAGGGGTAAGTAGGCAGGAATCTTCCTTTGCTTGTGTTTGACGATTGTTTAGAAATAGCTTTGGACTTTATACTTATTTTCCTATAAGTATAAAAAGCAGGTAAATGTATAAAATTAAGGGTACATTAAAGCAGTGTGTGTGTGTGTGTGTGTGTGTGTGTGTGTGTGTTTATATAGTATGAACCCTCAGCTGTTATAGTGTTGTGCAGCACAGAGTAAGTTCTAGAAGCACATTACTGGTAATCTGGGTCTTGGATTTCATTTACTATCGAGAATAAGGGATTTGGAGACATAGGATTTTTATTACAATCTCCCCACGGTCTAGCAGTGTGTCCATGGACAAGAACCTCAACCTTTCTGTGCCTTGGACACCTTCTCTATTAACTAGAGTCAGCCATCATACTTCTCTCCTGGGAAGGTTGGGACCAGGCAGGGTCGTGTGTGGGAGGGCTGAGCACCGGATGCAGGTGGGTAGCTGACTAACAAACACACGGCAGCACTCTCTTGTGGTGCTGCTGAGGATGTTGGGATCCGTCGCTGACTCCTCTGGGTTCTCAGTGAACTCTTTCTTCACGGCCTTGGGATACTGGGCTTGCCAAATCATTGTCCTCAGAGTGACACCCATGGCCACTCATAGGAGCTGTCTCTCTGGTGAGTGTCCAGTCTTCCCCTAATCTCTCCACTCTGTCTGGGACTCCAAAGATGTCCTTTGTAGGCTCCTGTGCCCAGTGCTTGGTCTCCAACTGGTGACTATCTCAAGAGGTCCTGCAACCTTTAGGACAGTGGTTCTCAACCTGTGTAACTCTGTGACCCTTCAATACAGCTCCTCATGCTGTGGTGACCCTCACCATAAAACTATTTCATTGCTACTTCATAACTGTGATTTTGATACTGTTATGAGTCATAATGTAAATGTCTGTGTTTCTGGCGATCTTAGGTGACCCCTGTGAAAGCGTTCAACCCCCAAAGGGAGTGAGACCCACAAACCAAGAGTCACTGCTTTAAGGGGATGGGGCCTGACCTCAGAAAGTAGGTCCCTGGGAGTGTGTTTGGAGGCTGCAGTTAGTTCTGATTCCTCCTTGTCCTCTCCTTCCTGTCTGCCGTAAAGAGAACAGTCTGCTCCTCCATGTGCTCCCACTACTGTGATGCTCCATATCAGCATGGGGCCATGAGACCACGGACTGAGCTCTCTGAAACTGTGAGCCAAATGAGCCTTTCTTCCTTTAAGCTGTCCTCCAGGGTGCCAGTATGCGCGGGAGGGAAACCAGTAGCTGATGCACTGCCTGGCAGTAGAGTCCATTCTGCCCTAGCTATTTCCTGTGCAGAACACGGTGCCTATCACACCCTTGAAGATACAGAGGAAGACAATAGCTCATCAAAAAACTAAACTGTGATTTGTGTGACTTCAAAATGAGTTACTGAACAGAAAGGACCAGAGCAGCTTGGCCGTTTCCCCCCCTCCTGACTCAGAAGGTCCAAATGTCTTTGGCCCAGGTCCATTTGTCTTCCTCCTGATTGGCGCACAGCTGAGGAGTTGTTGATTTTGGAGTCAGCCAAATAAAAGTCAAGGCATAAAAAACGATCTCAAACTTTGTGGACTTGTACATTGTGGTCAAGATTAGTTGGCAGCTTTTATGTCAGAGGCTTAGTTTAGATACACTGTCCTACAATAGGATAGGCATGCTCCTTTCCAGAAGCATATTAAAAGGAATGAAAGGGCTGTGTCTTGTTTGGAATGGTTTTATTTTAGACATAAAAAAGAATGTGTGTTGTGGGGGGTGGCATATCACACACACACACACACACACACACACGCCTATGTGAGCATGAGCAACTGACTGACTCAATTTTCCCTTCTAGTTATCATCCTGATATGCTGCTCAGAGGACACAAAACGCATTCTGCAGGCTGCAGAGAACCTGGAACTCAACACTGGAGAATTTGTATTCATCGTTTTACAGCAGCTGGAGGTAGGGGTCTAGGTACTGGCCAGTGGCTCTGTAGTGAGGGTAATGGAGAGGGTCATATGACAGGGTGCATATGGGAACCAGACACTCAGCATAGCTGTAGGAGGTTTATCTTAACCCCAGGGCTGAGGGCCTGGGGTACAGCTCAGTCAGTGCTGCTTGACACACAGATATGAGTGTTACCCTGGTCCTCAGGACCCACTTTAAAATGCTTGGTGGCCCACACTTGTCATCCCTGTCCTGCGGAGGTGAGAAATAGGATGCTTCCTAGAGTTTTATTGCTACTCATCCTAGAAGTTCAGTCCAGTGAAAGACCCTGCTCAAAAATACAACAGGATAGCATCAAAAACAACATTCAAGGTTGTCCTCTAGCCTCCACACGTGTGCATACACACGTGTACATGCACCTGTACACACACACATACACACACACACACAAGCACACACACACACCATCATGTGAGCATGAATGAATGCATACACACACATACACACACACACATACACACACACACACACATACACACACACACGTAGACCAAGAGCCTGGGTTGGAATGCGGTTAGCTGGCTCCAGAGTCCAGCCTCTGCTCTCCAGGTGAGCACACACTAGCCAAACTCTCCTTTCTGCCAGGAACCGAGCATCTGAAGGACTTTCAGGTGGCTCTCATCTCTGTTCTCCTGTAGATTTCCCTGTATCCTTGTTGAACATGTAGAGGCCATGCCACCTGCCCAGTGAGGCAATTCTTAGGTGGTCTGGTTCTTAACGGTGGGAGGGGCTGAGGAACCACACACTTGCCATAGTAGTGTTAGATATTTGACATGTTGCTGCAAAGCAGACATGATTATCCTTCCAACTTTTAAAAACAAAACTTAGATAGGCCAGGGAGGCACTTACCTGTGATCTCGACACTCCCAAGTTTCCTGGCTGGTGTTTCCAGACTGAGTCTTTGTTTATCTTCTTTACAGAGTAGGAAGTGGAGGCTTCACCTAGAGAGGTGAAACAACTTTCCCTACGCTGCACAGCTACCACAGGGTATCCTAGCCCTCAGTGTTTGTATTCTAGCCCTGGGTGTCTGCACACGCTACAGTAACGCCCTGGGTGTCTGCACATGCTACACTAACGCCCTGGGTGTCTGCACATGCTACATTAATGCCCTGGGTGTCTGCACACGCTACAGTAATGCCCTGGGTGTCTGCACACACTACACTAACGCCCTCGGTGTCTGCACATGCTACACTAACGACATCTACAAGGACCACTGCCTTTCTTTCACTGTGTGTCCCGCAGTTTTGCTTTCTAAAATGAGCTTGTCTTATATAACCAGAAGGAAATAAAAGGGGCAAGGTGGCTGTAGAGAGGGATACCAATGACCATATTTCTCTTCCTTTGGCAGGAAGTATTGGATGGTAGAAGGCCTCGGGTTTCTCTGGGTGGCGCCCGGAAACCCACCTCTCTCTTTCCGGGTACCGTCCCGCCTCCTACTGCTGTTGCTACCCTCCCTCATTTTCCTGTCATCTCTACTTGCAGGCAGATGATGAGAGGAGGGGGTGGGGTGACCGTAGGGTTCTCAGAGAATCCCTTCCAACCCTTGCTTCCTCCTTATAAAAACTCTGATGGTCAGTCCCAACTGCTTATAGTACAGGAAGAACACAGAATACAAAATATAGCATGAAGTGTCCATACAATTGAGTTCATCCTCTCTTAAAAATAATGCCCAAATCCACTTGGTAAAGCCAGTTAGGTTTATGTTGCAAAAAAAAAAAAAATCAAGCTGCTGAGAAATAGTAGAGTGTAATGTCAGTTATGTAAAATATATATACTTTGTATGTATACACATGTGTGTACGTGTGTGCTTCTATACTCGCTTGCACTAGGGAATTTGGGATACATGCATACCACATGCATGTGGTATGCATTTGTCCGAGTAGTGATAATAATATGGATGATAGCAATGGTAACAAACCCCGAAACCTCTGAAAATGGGAGACCAGAAGGCCCTACCCCTGCTCAGCTCGGCGATCTTTGCGGTTACGTAAGCTCTCTGTGTCTTACATACTTAGTGCCCAACTATGTTCTTCCTTTTTTACTCAATGGCTTTCTTCCTGCTGCTTGTGTGCTAGCTAGCAAATGTGCACTCAGCATTGCAGAGCCTTCTGGAATTATTGTAGTTCCAAGAATTAGCATGCAACAATTAAAGTTCTGAGCTGTCTTGAATGCAGGTGGGCTCCACGGGTCACTTCCTACAGCATGGTGAGATTTACGTCGTTACTTTTTAGGACAGATTTTGGAAAGAAGCCCTGGCAAATGACAAGGTGACAGGTTTCCCAAAAGTCTATGAGTCAGTGTTTGTCATCGCCCCCAGCTCCTATGGAGAAGGTTCTGGAGATGATGGCTTCCGGAAACAAGTCTACCAAAGGCTGAAGAAGCCACCCTTCCAAAGCTCCATCGCCACAGAGGACCAGGTCTGGTGGAGGTTTATGCATAGCTGACTTTGCATTTCTTATTTCTGCCTCTCCCTGACAGTGTTTTGATGTTGTTATGTGAAGTCCATACCCATGACCACAGAGGAGTCAGAGTTATGGGATAGAAAGCTACTGGCTTTTGCTATCTACTAACGTGGAAATTTGGAGTAAATTACCTAATTTCCTCGTAGCTGGCTTTCCTCAAACATGAATTAGAATCATTAATGGCATCTACCTTCCAGGCTGACCCTGAGTGTCCCACATGCACTACGTTGATGTAGCAGAAGAGATTCTGATTGCCTTTTCCAGGAGGACGACAGGACTAACAGCCAGGACAGAACAGTCAAGCACTGAGCCAGCACAGTTCAGGCAAGCAGATAGGCTCTGTCAGGGCTGTCATGAGAGGACCTATCGGTCAGCAGGAGAAGGGGTGTATACAGAAGAACAATATGGGGAATGATTTACAGAGAACACTGGCAGGAGAGGAAGCTACTTCCACTCTGCGGCCATGCTGATGACACACTGCAGACAGGGTTTGATGAAGAATGAGGCCAGACTGTGAACCTTACCAGGGTGAGAAGACACTTATTTTGGGGATGGCTCTGTTCCAGCTGCTGGAGGGGAAAGGCAGCTAGCACTGAGTAGGTACTTACGTTGATGAGCCGAGCAGGCATTGAAGACCTACTATGTGCATCTGTGCTGTAGTAGTTTACATAGTCAGCCTCATCTAGCACACACATCTTTCAGGAGTCATTTTGTCTCCATGTTGGGAAGGAGTGAGCTGAGGTCTGGAGAGGCTTCTGGGATCACCACCCCTGCTTATAGCCACAAAATGGCAGACATTCTGGCTTTTGGATGTTTCACCCAAGGCACACTCCCCTGCTAATGAATAGCCGGTTGCACCCAGGAGCTTAGCTTGGTCTGCACGTGTGATCCATCTAGAGGACAGGGGGACCCAGGAAAGGTGAAGACTTGGACAGCTAAGTTTGATATCATCGGGCACAGGCCTGAGGTAACTCCATTCTCTCAGTTAGGCTGGTCTTGTGCTTGACAATAGAGAATTGTTTCTTCTAGCAAGGTGGTGGAAGTTGGGGGATATGCACACCACACTTGCTTCTCTTGTTGAAGGTGAGCCCTTACTCTGCCTACCTCCACGACGCCCTCTTGCTCTATGCTCAGACCGTGAAGGAGATGATCCAGGCTGAGAAAGACTTCTGGGATGGGCAGCAGCTAATTGGCACCCTGAGGACTGGCCAGATCACACTGCAGGGTAAGGTGGCCTCTGAGCTCAGGTTTCTTAGCCTCATCCCTGTGGACTCGGAGATGCTGGGCATGAGCTATAGGCTTTCGATAAGGCCCACCTCACTCTGCTATGGAATAGTTATCATCTTAACGAGATTGCAACGGTCTTCCATAGAGTACATGGGCTGAAGCCTCCTGACAGCTCTGAGTTTCCCCAACCAGGGGATGAGGTCTCTGAGCATCTTCTTGTCTTCCCCCAGGAGCTCTCTCTCTCTCTCTCTCTCTCTCTCTCTCTCTCTCTCTCAGCTTCTTCTTGTAGACCCTTGCCGGTAGATCACGTCTGAACAGCAAGGCGGTGTAACATCCTGGGAAGAAAAGGGCACTGGGTCCTGTGTCCATGTTGTGTGCCAACACTGCCTCCCTTGGCTCTGGAAGGCAGACTTGGGACACTCATCCTCTAGCCCCCCTGTGTTAGGACTGAGATTCCCCTTTTCTGAGACTCAGTGTGTGAGGTCACCAAGATCACAGAACCAGACATATTGTAGGTACTTCCTAAGTGACAATACTGTGTGCCGTCCACAGGGGAACCTGTTGTCAGGGCTCAGATGCTGGCTTGGGGGGTAAGATAGGATTTTCCTTTCCAGAAGGTTCTCCTTGATAAATAGAGTTTAGCATGTCCCAAGCAGGGACAGCAGAGCTGCTGGTTGGAATTGAGTGCCCGGCCAAAGCTTCAGCCCCCACAAAGTCATAAGAAAGGGGCCCAGGCAGAGTGAACTTTGCAAACCCGTGTCTCAGGAATGCTTACAGGGAGTAGCCAGCATGGCAAGGAACAGAGAGGCAGCTGTCCATCCTACATTTCCAGGCAGCTACTGCCCTGTGACCATTCAGCTTCCAGCCATCATAATTTCTGATTTCATAGGAGGCGGTTTTATGCGCAATGCATGCAAGATGGCTTAATTTTTTTCCCTCAACACTGGATGAGCCTCCATGTTTGGAGCTAAAGAGATGATAGCCTGCCTTCCCAGCGTGACTCCACTTCTGAGTCACCTTCAGTCCCTCCATGCACATGTTGACCCTAGCTCAGATTTTGTCATCCAAGTCTGGTGGGGAGAGGGAACGTCAGTCAGAGCTGGCATGGGTGCTGTTTGCAGCCACGAGGGCCACTCTGTCCTTAGCTGGTGTGATCTCTCTTTCCAGGAATCTCTGGCCCTGTGCTTCTGGACTCCCAGGGGAAAAGGCGCCTGGATTACTCAGTCTATGCTCTACAGAGATCTGGAAACACATCTCTTCTTCTTCCTTTCCTTCATTATGACAGTTTTCAGAAAGTCGTCAGGTACTGCTGGTCACATCTGTAAGATTGATAGTGCTGTAAGAAGGGCCTGGGTTGAGGGGGACCAGGCGTTTGGGATCCAGGTCTAGGATTTCCCACCAAACAGTCTACTCACTAAGGTATGTCCAACCTGTGGCCTGTGGGCTGATCATGTTTCAGGATAGATACAAATGCAGTCCAATGCAATACTGTGAACTCATATAAAACGTCAGGCTTTGTTTGTGTGTTGGTTTGTTTTTGATATGTACGTACACACACACACACACACACACACACACACACACACACACAATCAGTTCTTTGTTTTTGTTTGTGTTTTTTGAGACAGGGTCTCTCTGTGTAGCCCTGTCTGTCCTGGAACTCTCTGTAGATCAGACAGGCCTCTAACTCAGAGATTCTTCTGCCTCTGCCTCCTGATTGCTGGGACTAAGGGCGTGCACCACCACCACCACCACCACCACACCCACTCAAAGTCAGTCCTTCAGTGCAGACTTTGTAGATGGTAGCACCCTCTTATGATGGCAGAGCTTTCTGAACTCACAAAAACCAACTTTGGGCCAAGTTGAACTCACAAAACAAACCAAGGTGGTTTTGCCCAGATTGTGGGTACAGCCCTTTTCGGGACCCAGGGAGATCACAGAAACGCAGTACCATACCTGTAACTCCATGGGGCTTTTTGCTTCCTTTGATGCCCCAGCTGGATCCCATTCCCAGTGGTGTCCAGAAGAAGCCCAGATCCCCTAAGGCAGTGAATCTTAGGGCCACCTACAGGCCTGAGCCCGCATCCAGCAAAGCCATCTGCCTACAAAGTCTGCCTCCCAGAGACTCACAGGGACATCAGGACCTGCGCTGCTCTGGGCTCCCAATACCACGAATTCCTGCAGAAATCCTTCATCTTGTTTTCTCAGCCACAGACCAGTGAGGACATGAGAAGGAACGCTAGTTGCTTAACTCAAGGCCTCCCTGCCTACTCCCGATAACCCAGATTCCATTCAGACATTTCCCTCCCTTCTTCTTTGTGAAAAGTAAGTCCCTGAAGAGTCCGGACAAAAACAAAGTAGCATAACAAACCAGGTCCTCAGTGTGGAAGGGAGGCGTGCACTCCGTGTAGACAGTGAACGGTCACGATACTTGCTATGCACGAAGATCTGAATGCCAAGCATGACTGACACGTGAAGTATTGGCATGATCTGTTAGTCGAAAGAGACATAGTTTAAGTTGCAAGATTGTGGAAGTTATTCTACCTGGGGGGGGGGGGAATAGAAGACACTGTTTTCCCTGAATTACATGACTGGACGCCAGGTTTGAAGTTTGAAGAGCTAAGGGAGGTAGAAAAACACTCATCAGGCCACCAGAGGTTTGAACGAGGGGACTTAAGCCTGTTTGCTTTTCTTGTTGTTGTTTGTTTACATTTATTCATCTCTGTGCACGCATTCATGAATGCATGCATAGGGGACATGTTCACGCCATGGCATGAATGGGTAGTGACAAGGGCAACTTGGGAAGTTGGTTCTGTCCTTTCATCAAGAGAGTTCCAGGGATCCAACTGGGTCATTAGCTTCACAGTAAGTGCCTCACGCTTTAGGACATCTCTCTGTAGGCCGCGGTTTTTTTTTTTTTTTTTTTTTTTATTGCACGTCTCAGTTGCTCTTGTATGTGAAGTGAGGACAAGTAGAATAAACTGACTGAACACAGACCTTTGTCTCTCCTGCTTTAAAGGCCCTGGAGGAATGTCTCTAAAATCTCTTGGCTCCATGGCCCCCCTCCTGAAGACAGACCTGGCTGCAGACTTCATAACAAGCTTTGCAAAACAGAGCCTCTTGCTGTAGCAGGTAAGCATGACAGCCCAGAGAAAATAGCAGGGGCGGTTTCTCAACGGCACCGTCTTTGGGGCCAGAAAGCCCTTCTGTGTGAGACAGTCCTGTGCTTGTGGACAGTAAGAAGTATCCACCCTCTGGCTGGATTTGAAAGTGTTTTTCAGACACCACCATGCCCACCTTCCCTGTTCAGAGCCATCACTATAATGAACCCCGGATCCTGAGAGTCGAGTCTTAGAGCTTCCCTCAAGGAGGCAGAAGTAGTCTGTGCAGAGGCTATGGCTGAATAATGTGTTAGGAGCCTGGCTTTTGAATTAGAAAGACCATGCCTGGAGGACACCACCATAGAGAATGCATAGTAATTGTTCAACAAAAGGGTTGGAAGTCATTGCTATGTTCTTACTATAGAAGTTTCTGTTAACAAAAAATGAGGTGACTATATTTGCCATGGTAGCTGCAGGGGGTGGGGCTATCATCGTAGGATTCTAGCAGAGCCAAGTCTAACCGGCTTCAGCATGTTACAACCTACACCATATCTGGACGGCCTTTGAGACTAGTGTTTGGCAGGGACATGCTTACCTCTGTTCACAGATGGGCCTCAGGGATGTCTGTCTCCGCCTCCAGGTGAGCCTGCACCTCTGGCGATGATTCTCACAGCGACTGTTCTGGTGCTTGCCACGGTAGCTGCCCTCACAGGCCTGGTGTTAGGGATGATGAGAGGGACAGGGCAGAGCCATCACAGAAACACCTCGTGGCAGATCCACTACGACTGCATCACGGTTCTGCCCCAGCACAAGGTGAGGCCACGCGCTTCCCTGGTGGCTTGCAGAGGGACCTCCCCTAGGAACTTATGGCAGCAAGGGGATGACTCGCTGATGAAGTGAGCAATGAGACAAGCTTCAAGATCCGAGTTAAGTTTCTAGGCTACATTCATCATTCATCAGAGAGAGACTAGGCTACATTCATCAGAAAACTACCCTGCCTCCCAAAATCTGAACAATGTATCCATACCTCCATTCCTTCCCTCCACGTCTCTCCTCCAAAATAGCTCCAATTTCAAGCCCCCCCCCCACCAAGTTCATATGCAAATGTGTATGAGGTCATCCACCGGGGTGTGGGGAACCTACTCCATTCCAAAAGTGAATCTCTTCACTTTTCAGCAGCCCAGACTCCCAAGAGCTCCTCCATGCTCCATGTTGGATTGGCTTGATCTTGTGTTGGTCTTATGCTGATAACCCCAGTGTCTGTGAGTTCACCAAGGCCAGTCTCCCTACATTCTTCAGCCCCCTCTCCCAAGGCTCAGGGAGAGGAGACTGATTGCATGGTTCCAGCTTTGGAAATGACTGGTTGTCTTCTAAAGCTCAACTTTTCCAGTGGAGCAGGTAGTCCTATTGAAAACATTAACCCTTTAACCTACCAATGAGGGCTACAAATAGTTCATTTCCATAACAATCACCAGTCTACCATCCAGGGTAGCCTAAGCACAACTCAAGGCTTTGGGATGCCCCGGAGGGATGCAGAGGGATGTCTCCATGGTGAGGTGGAAGCCTGTAAATGGAGAGTGATGTGAAGGTTTCTGAGAGGGAGTGCCATTTAGGAAGAATGCATTGTTAGCTGTGACAAGGAGAGAAGTCACATAGACCATGTCAGGATATTAGAGTATTAGAACATGCCATGTTGAAGGCTGGGAAGATTGGCTGGTATCAGTGGGCGGTGGCGGCGGCGCACACACGCCTTTAATCCCAGCACTCAGGAGTCAGAGGAAGATGGATCTCTGTGAGTTTGAAGCCAGCCTGGTCTATAGAGTGAGCAGCCAGGACCATTTCACAGAGAAACCAGAGGTAACCTGGGCTCACTGGATCAGGGAAACGATTCCATTTCTGCTTAAGTAGCACAACTAGACCATAAATACAGATAGCCTGACCTCAGAGCCCGTCCTACCCATTTTGGATCAGAAAGATCAGAGTTCACGGCCTGGCTTTCCCAGGTGGCCTTGTAATTCATCCTCCTTATCTATGAAATAAACTACCCTGTGGGCACTAGGCCGTGCTGCTGAGAGCAACTGAGCTGTGTCTTGTTTTCCAGCCATCCCAACGAGGCACACCTGTGTCGAGGTGCAATGTTAGCAATGCTTCTACGGTGAAGATTTCTGCAGATTGTAGCTCTGTTGTCCAGAGCCAGCAGAGTGGAGAGATGTTTTATGCCCCCGTGGGGCTTTACCAGGTACTTCGTGCAGGGTGGGCTTCTGTCCTGTTCTCCGATTGAATTTGATCAGGCCGGACACTATGAATATAAGAACGTTCTCCAAACAAAACCCCAGGTGGTTTTGTGTCTCTAGACCGGTGTTTCTCTAACTGAAACACAGTAATTAAAAAAAAAAAATACAGCAAAGTATTTGTAAATACTATGTCTTACTTTAAAAGGGAACTTAAGAAATGTTTCTGGGGCTGGAGAGATGGCTCAGAGGTTAAGAGCACTGACTGCTCTTCCAGAGGTCCTGAGTTCAATCCCCAGCAAACACAGGGTGGCTCACAACCATCTATAATGAGATATGGTGCCCCCCTCTGACCTGTAGCAAAGCATGTAGGCAGTATATTGCATACATAATAAATAAATAAATAAATAAATATTTTTTAAAAAGAGATGCTTCTGAAGAAACATCTGAAGATTTTGGGTCAGCAGGATGGAGGCTGAGATTCTGTGTTTGTGACAAGTTCCCCTGTGATTCCTACACTGGTGACTGGATCAGACTTAGATTTCCCAGTAGAACCTTTTGTGGTGAAGACAATATCCCAAAACTACCATAGCCACCAGCTACAGATGACTGAACACTACTGTCTCTAGAGAAACTAAATGGTAAAGATAATTAAATTTAAATAGCTAGAGAGCCTCAGATATGACTCAGCCAGGGCAGCCCTCACTGTAAGCACTGGGACCTGACTTCCAATCCCCAGCACCTAAATAGAGCAGCAACCATGAGTGGCAACCCATGCCTGTGACCCCAGCACTGGAGAGGCAGAGACGGGATTATTAGCCAGCCTGTCTGGCTGAACTAACGAGCTTTAGGTTCAGCAAGAGACCCTGTCTCCAATGTAAGGTGGAAACCAATAGAAGAAAATACCCAGCATTGACCTCTGGTACCATATACACAGCCAGCTATACACGAACAATTTAAATAGTCCTCGGTGGCTAGTGGCAAGCGTAGTAGGTAGCACAGCCACAGAGTGAGGATTTCTTTATTCCAGGATTTCAATGACTCATGCTGGAGATATCGATGCATCAGCAATGTAAAACTGGCAGCTGTTGAAGCTCAGACATTACTCCTTTCTCAGCTGGCCCCAGAGCACACGCTTAGTCACCCCTTAAGAGCTCAGCTCCCTTTGGGGAAGTTAAATAGGTCCTGGGAAATGGAGGCAGAAAGTGCCAAGCAGAGCAATCACTGACCGACCAAGGCACTAAAGAGTGGTTTCAGTTTCTGGCAGTGTCGGGTTCACTCTGCCTTCCCCATCCCAGCCGGAGCCTTCTCATCCTTCAGGTTCCCCAAGGGCATCACGTCTTCCCAGAACCTTTTCCTCAGTTCCACGGGCGTCCCTTCCTCCATGGGAATCCTGTCTCTATCCCAAACCCTTCACAGTTGCTTTCACAGATCTGGGAGTTCGTATTTAGCTGATCTGAGCCTTGCCCACCCCTCGTCATCCCCCCCCCCCTTAGCCAGCTTGTATTTGTAACGGTGGCCACACCCCCTTGGGCGTGGCCTCAGGCAGACAGAAGTGGGAAAGAGGGAAGCTTGGGGCGCGGCTTTCCTTTGTGTGGTCTTTTTGGTGGGTCAGCCCATCCGGTAGGAAGGGCAGAGAAATGGATGTGCTCCTGTGGTTCTGTGTGTGTGTGTGTGTGTGTGTGTGTGTGTGTGTGTGTGTGTGTGTGTGTGTGTGTGTGAGTGTTCCCCAATAAACACCCATTTATCATTTATCTTGGGTCTAGTGAAGTCACTGCATCCTCGCCTTCATTTTGGAGCCTGAACGACAAACCACGACCTCCTTTCCAATGAGCCCCTACCCCGTTATTGCGAGTTGTTGTGGTTGGGGATTGAATGACCCTAAAAACAGACCCAGTGGGTGACAAAAGGAAGACATCCCAACTTCACAGGGCCTTCGTATGCCACGTGATGCCCCCTGACATGTCACTGGTGTGGAATGGGAGACTGGGAGAAGTGACGTTGAATTGTCACAATGGGCTTGAAGTAGGCACCGGACTCTGGGCATAGGGTGTCCACTCACTATTTTCTTGGATGATAATGAGGCATCGGATCCAGGTATTCAGATCCATCTGCAACCCTGGACAAGCTGCCCCACCTCAGCGATCCTGTCCAGAACGGGGCCAAGCACAGCCACCTTGCAGGGCTGTGATGTCAGATGAAGACCTTACTGCTGAACCTGGGCCTGCCACGGTGCAGGGGGTTGACTGGTCAGTGAGCAGCTGGGTGCTATTGCCCACAGGTGGCTTTCTCCTCAGCTTCCTCGCTCCACTCCCTCACCTTTTCTGAGTGGTGATGTTTCTGGGTCATTCTACTTTGGGGCTGGAGAGATGTCTCAGTGGTTAAGAGCGCTGGTTGCTCGGGCTCGATTCCTACCTAGCACACACAGGGCAGCTCACAGCCATCTGGAACTCCCATCCCAGGAGATCTAACGCCCCCTTCTGCTCTCCCCTGGTACTGCACACACGCATGCAGGCAAACCATTCACGGCATGTAAAATATTGAAGGGGGGCCAGGAAGTGGTGGCGCACACCTTTAACCCCACAGAGACAGGCGGATCTCTGTGAGTTCGAGGCCAGCCTGGTCTACAGACTGAGTTCCAGGACAGGATCCAAAGCTGCAGAGAAACCCTGTCTCAGAAAAATAAACCCAAAAAAGAAAAAAAGAAAAACACTAAAAGGAAAAATAAAAGAGCTTTTCACTTTGTCTCCGATTCTAGGGAAATCACGTGGCCCTCTGCCATGTCGACGAGGAAGCGGAAGCGTGGCTTAAGAAGCCAAGTGTACTGCAGGAAGTCTGCCTGGTGAGGCTCCTCCCTGCCCTGCCAGTCCGGTCCCACCGTGAGGCGTGGTCCCCGCCCAAAGGTTCAGTGGTGGACTGGGTGTTCCCAGCCCGAGGCACAGCAGGGGCTTGGACCTCAGACTCTCCGCCCCGAGGCAGGAACCTGAAATCTGGTTCCTTTTTAATCTCGCCCCCCCCCCCACCTCTCCTGGCCTTAATTCTGGCCTTTCATCCTCTGTCTGTGATGGGTGTCGGCTTCCTCTGGAGCTTGGATCTTGGGGAGGGTTTGACGCTTTGCTTCATGTCAATGACCCAGTGTCACATATGGCATTAATAGTCACAACCAGGGAAGCAGCGCAGGATCTGCCTGCCACGAGGTCTAATTACTACCATGGCTCGGATTGGACTTTGATAAACACCCCAGGTTGGTTTGTTTGCCCGACCCCCTGGGTTTCCTTCCTCGCTGTGCCATTTAGTAGTTGCATCCCCTTCAATAAGCCATTCCACCTTTGAGACACCGTTCCTTTGCCTGTAAGCTGGAAGGAACTCTCTCTCATAGTACCCTGGCAATTAACTGAAGGTGGACAAAGCATGCAGCGCGGTCCCTATGCAAGGCACCCCCCACACGTAATGATACTGCCACCATTCTTTCCAGATGTGTGAGTTAAAGCACGAAAACATCGTCCCCTTCTTTGGTGTTTGCACAGAACCGCCTAACATCTGCATTGTCACGCAGTATTGCGAAAAAGGAAGTCTGAAGGTAAAAATATTACGTCTTATGTGGGGCTTCACTAGACAGCTGGCAGAAAACCCTTACCCACCTTTCTCCCATTCATCCATGCGTGGTTCTGTTTTTGGTCTCATCGAAAAGACCTGAATTATCTTAGCCTTCTTCCTGGGATCTGCCAGGAACATGAGTGAATCTGCCAACTAGAGGTTTCCTTTCCTCTTGGTGGAAACTGCATGAACTTGATTTGTTCTACAATGTCACCCCTCATCTTGAATCCCAACCCCTTTCCGGCACAGGGCCATCAGTTTTGTGTCAGGGAAACGAGATGTTGGTAGAATTCAAGGCAGTGTCCTTCCCCCTCATGGAATGAGACTAGGCAGTCTTCTGTGTGGTCACATGCTGTGTCTCACTTTAGTTATAGCCGAAAAGACACGATTGTCTGTCCTGCTCGACGTACGGAGCTCACTCTGTGTCAGCCTAACCCTAGTGATAGTTGGAACAACTGTGTTTTCTAGGATGTCCTGAGAAACTCAGATCATGGGATGGACTGGATTTTCAAGCTCTCGTTTGCATATGATATAGTCAACGTGAGTATAACAGAAACTAACTTAAACAACACACAGCGTATATTCCTGAATTGTCCTCCATCTTTGTTGGCTCTCTTTAAATGTCTTTAAACTGAATGACTCCAGGTTTCAATTCAATCACTCCAGTCAGACGCCCATGCTTTAAACCAATGGTAGGCGTGCCCGATCAGGAAAGAGAAGGGCATTTAGGCTTTGGGGAGAACTTCTTGTCCCAGAGGGAATCCAATCACCCGACCACAAGGAGAGCTGGGGAGGATATGCCTTTCTTTTCTTCTCCTCAGAAACTGGAATCAGTACTACAAAGGTAACACGGTGGGCTGGACGTGTGAATATGAGAGGGTGTGGAAAGCATAGCCTTTATTTTGGCCACAAGGAGCTATAATGGCTTTAGTTAAGGATGATCGGCACTGTAACAGCACACACACATACATGGAATGTGTGGATGCTGTTAGGTAAAGGACACTTATTAGTGTCTTGTCTTATTGACATATTATCTTACAACAAGGTGCATCTGTTGTTGCTCTCATTTGGAGATGGGATAACTGGACACAGAGCATTCACGTAGCTTGCCTGAAGTCCCACAGCTTCTGAATAGTATGGATATGATTTATATCTAGGTGTTGTGAGCCTTGTAGTCTTATTTCCCATACCACACAATGTAGCATGAAGAACTAGAAAAGGTAGAAGAACATAGGCTTCACCTTGTCTCCAAGGGAAATTCTGGAAAACCATGGTCATTACAGCTGTAAATTTTATTTTATTTATTTTATTTTTTGAGACAGGGTTTCTCTGTGGCTTTGGAGCCTGTCCTGGAACTAGCTCTTGTAGACCAGGCTGGTCTCGAACTCACAGAGATCCGCCTGCCCCTGCCTGTTGGGATTAAAGGTGTGTGCCACCAACGCCCAGCTACAGCCTTAAAATTTTGATGAGTATCCGCTAAAGGTTTGTTTTACTCTGGGGCTGTTTGAAGACAGATGAAGCTTTGACTGTCACACTCTGTTCATAAGACACAACTCTTCTCTGGATGTATAGTTGCCAGCATTTCCTCTGTATCAGGTATCAGGTATCAGAGAGAGACTACAAACAAGCCAGTGAGCCCAATTAGAGGGTTGAGTATTTACTTTGGATCTGACTGTAGTCTGAACATGGAAGGCATAGGGGGACCTAGAAATTGGCTTAGAGATTTACATATTGACTCTGTCACATACTGGTCACATGACCATCACCACCCCTGAGACTCAGAACTAAAGACAATATCAGATTCCATCTCTGAAAGTTGATTTGAGAGCTAAAGTACATAAAGTGCTTAGCTCCGTGGCTACCCCATAACAGACTTGTAGTAAATGTGAACTTTTAGTACTATCGTAATTATCAGTATTCTCATTAACCACTCCAGTATGGGTATTAAAAAAACTACACTCTCTTGTTGAAATCTCCCAAGAATTCAATGGAATAATTGTGCTCTGTCTGAATATGGTGCCACAAAATACACTGGAAAGGTAGCTAGTTCAAGTTGAGATAGGTTTCAAATATGAAAGAAATCCACATGCAATTTGAGGGCTCAGTGGGAAAAAAAAACAACCTACAGAATTTTTTATGTTGGTTGAATTTTGCAAAAACAATAACAACAAAAAAAGATATTTAAATGCACCAAATTAAATTCACAGTATTATTAAATTATTTTCACGTGTTTAGCTTTTTTTTTTAAAGACAGCTGCTGAAAACCATTAAAAACACATGTGAGCTGCATTGTGTTTTGGTCAGATGGTGATGTATTAATTAACCATTAGTGGCTGTAGTAATTACTCCATTTCCAAGAGGGTTACAAATGAGGCCTACGAGGTGAACTTACTGGTGAGCGTCACATTGCGAGTGTGGCTGTTTGTCTTTAAAGGCAGTATATCCTCTCATGCTTCCTGCTAAGCACCAGTGAACACAAACAAGGGAGTCAGACTTGAGAGCCCTGGGGGACTTTCCAGAAATTTCCAGTAGAGCAAGTCGTACAAGTCGTGCCTAAGTGCATGGTATCTGCTCGTGAATCATGGACACACTGTAGCTCTGTTTGTTCTCTCACAGTACTGCGTTGTTTCGTTAGGAAGGAAAATAAAAACAAAAGCATGCATGCCACCTTGTGGGGGTGACTGTACCCCCAGAACCCCACCATCCCTGGCATGCTGGTTTTATAAGCGTAATGAGCTCCACTCAAGTCCCCGCCTTCCGGTGAGCACTTAAACCGCTGTCTCCTCATTGTGAGGCAGAGAATGAGTGTTTATGTGAGACTGTGACAAGTCTCCTGCCTGGGGCTAGACCAGCAAGGGCAAAAGACAAATCTCGTGTGTCTGCAAGGTCAGGGAGAGCTCTGGTTTGGGCTCAGGTCTCGTCAGATGGCACACTTGGATCTTAGCCTGCTTGATATGAATGGGGGCTGAGTTTTGCCATCTCAATAGCGAGCGTGCTGCTGAGGCAAAGCAACCCTGTCTCCTGATATAGGGGTGGGGTTAGGATGCATCCACTCTCTGCTATTTCTTTATTGCTGTCAGTATTGGCCCACATTTCCAATGCAATGCTGGCCCTAGGGTTCTGGCTGAAGCAAGGTGGCTTCATTGATTGGGGGAGCCATCGAAACAGTATGTAGTCAGAATTTCCAAGTTCTTGGATTTTTTTTTTTTTTTTTTTTTTTTTGGTACTTCTGTAAAAGCTCTGGGTGTTTTCAGCCAGTATCTCTGAATTGTTCATTTTTGGAATTTTGCTAGGATCTGGCAGAAAAGCAACAAGCTCAGTATAACCAGGTACAAGGTCAGCAGGGAACACGGGAACTAGGGCAGCCTGGGTGTGGTGGGCCCCTCCCACCTGCCTTAGGAAGCAGGCGTCAAAGAGACAAGAACAAATGAGTGTTTCTTTCAAGGGTCCTACAGGATTTTGTTTTTCCGTTCTAAGGACAACGGTCGGTCGGGTGTGAATACAAGCCCCTTGTGCAAACTAACTCATGTCATACTCTTGAATGCTCCTAGAGAGGAGGGTGGCATCGTCGTCAGCTCCCTGACTAGGTATTATTACACCCAGTGAAGCCATCAAGGCTGGTAAGGAAAACAGAACAGAGGAAGACACTTGACCTTTCCCCTTTGACCTTCATCTCATAGCTCCCAGTCTGCCTTGGGAAATTACAAACGCAAAGATCTGTTTCTCTAACCTTGTCTCAAATATAATAGTTTTTCCCTTAACGTTACTCCTTCCTCCCACCGACCTTCCTAAAGTTTTCCCTGCCTTCATCCCAGATGTTCCTTTGAACCCCTCCCTGCCTGTGGAAAGGCTCCAGTCCTCTGGAAAAACACCCTAACCCTCCCTTGGCTGGACCGGTGCATTTCCCGCCTTGATGAGTCACAAGTATCTTCCACACTGAGCACCTGTCTCCCCATTCTGAGTAACCTTTTGCTTCTGGGCCCTAAATACTCAGACTCAGCTTGAGCCACAGGTGCTCTGCTGCTAACACAGGCTCTTAGATCTGAGGCCCAAGCATTGCGTTGGTTTTCTAACTAGCAGCTTCTCCCTCTGCCTGATGGTAGAGCTGAGATTTGAACTCAGATTCTTGACCATGAGGAGAGTCTAATTTTAAAACACGCCTGCCTTCTTACTAAGGACACACAAGCAGTGTTTTCTCCCACTTCTGCCCAGATGGGCTTCATAGACAAGGAGCTGGTGGATTTTCTGGAACAAGCTGGGGTCATCTGTGTGGCTATGAGCAGGCCCTTCCGCTCTGTCTCCATGCTCATCCTCACCCTTGCAGGGTATGCTGTTCCTCCACGGGAGCCCACTGAGGTCTCACGGCAACCTGAAACCTTCCAACTGCCTGGTAGATGGCCGTATGCAAGTGAAGCTGACAGGATTTGGGTTGTGGGAGTTGAAGCATGGCCGCACACACAGGATCTACAACCAGCAGACCACTGACCATTCAGGTAGCCGCCGGCAGATCTTAGACCCACTTGCTCTAGGTTAAGTAGTCAAAGTTTTTGTCTTCCATTTTTGCTTCATGATGCTGCCTTGAAGGGAGACCCATGGGTAGTTTTCCCTTTCCAGATGATGAAGTGAAATTCTTCGGTTCACCCATGGAGAGTGAGAAAAGAAACCACCCTAGGGATGGCATGAATCTATGGCGTGAGGCTTGGGTTAGGAGTCTGGTTTTCATCTAGCCTTAATTGGGTACCTGAAGCTCCCATCGCTCCCCTGTGCTGTCTCCTATATCCCTTCCCATTTTCATCCCATGTTCTCAGTATAGGTGATAAGATCTGCCAGGCTGTCCTAGTTAAGGTTACCATTGCTGTGATAAAACACCGTAACCAACCGTAACCAAAAGCAACTTGGGGAGGAAAGGATTTATTTGGTTTGTACTTTGTCATCAAAGGGAATCAGGTCAGGAACTCAAACAGGGCCGGAGCCTGGAGACAGGAGCGGATGCCAAAGCCGTGGAGAAGAGCTGCTCACTGGCTTGCTCCCCATGGCTTGCTCAACCTTCTTTCTTATAGAATCCAGGACAGTCAGTCCAGGGATGACCTCACTCACAACGAACTGAGCCCTCCACCTTCAATGCTAAGTAAGAAAATGCCCTACAGCCAGATCTGATGGAGACATTTTCTCAGTGAGGTCCCTCCCTTCAGATGACTCTAGCTGTGTCAAGTTGACATAAACTAGCCAGCACACAGGCTGTGTGGTGACGTATTACTTATGATTTTATAAAGATTACCTGAAGGGCCAGAAAAGCAAAGCTAGCCACACTAGCTAGCTGTAGAAGCTAGGCAGTGGTAGCACACACTTTTAACCCCAGGACTCAGGAGACAGGCTCTCCAAGTTCAAGGCCACCCGGGCCTACCAAGAGTGAAGAGTGACAGTGCTCATGCCTTTGAGCCCAGCACTTGGGTTCACACACCATTAATCCCAGCACTAGGGAGCTGGAGACAGGAGAATGTGACTGGGTGGAGACAGGAATGTAAGGAGGAGGAGACAGGAGCTCAGCGCTTTCGCCTGTGGAGACAGGATTGCCATTTCAGCTGAGCAGAAGTGAGAGCTACTGCTCTGGTCTTTAGGCAATTTACTAAATCATAACTAACACATCACCACAGGCTGTTTAAAGATAACCGAGTCCAGGAGTGAGCTGTGTGCTAGGCCAGACATTTTTGAATTTTTTTCTTATAACCCCTTTTCACTCAAATTTTTATGCGACTCCAGGTGTCTAGTTATATACAGTAGGCACACAAATGAAACATTTACTGACTTGAAAATCATAGACAATTAATTTAAAACTATTGTTTGGCTTACATATGTTTATCATTTAATAAATAGAAACAATATGGTATCATGGTACTGGGCTAACTGCGATTAACTTAATTTCTCTGTGGTCTCTCATATGGTTATTGCAAGCTTCCCCAGGGAGGCACTCCTAGGTCAACCTCTTAGGATGCTCTGTCCTCCTATAGCTTCTGCAGCACGGGAGTAATTAGACGTAGCTTTCTCTCAAAATGGCGCTCCGTTGTCTTGCAGAACTCTACTGGACAGCCCCAGAGCTGTTGCGGCTTCAGGAGCTGCCCTGGCCTGGCACCCCGCAAGGAGACGTTTACAGCTTTGCCGTTCTCATGAGGGACTTGATCCACCAGCAGGCCCATGGGCCCTTTGATGACCTTGAGGAGGTTCCTGAGGGTAAAGCTAGAGTGTGCTGCTCACAGGAAAGGGCATAAGGGCTTGTGTGGGGGGAGGGGAGGGGCAGAGGGGTGTTGTGGGAGGGAAATAAGAGATGAAGAGTGTGACGGTAATGAGAATGTACCACCCCACACATACATACATACACACACACTCACATACACACACACACACACACATACATACATACACACACACTCACATACACACACACATACATACACACACACATACATACACACACATATACACACACACTCACATACATACACACACACATACACACACACTCACACACACACTCACACACATACACACTCACACACACATATATACACTCACATACATACACACACATACACACACACTCACACACATACACACTCACATACATACACACACACACTCACACACATATACACACTCACATACATACACACACATACATACACACATATACACACACACACTCACATATACACACACACATACTCACACACACATATACACACTCACATACATACACACACACTCACACACACACTCACACACATACACACTCACATACATATACACACTCACATACATACACACACATACTCACACACACTCACACACACATATACACACTCACATACATACACACACACTCACACACTCTCTCTACACACACTCACACACACATACACACTCACACACACTCTCTCTCACACACACACACACGCACACACTTATGCAAAATTGATAAAAGAACAACAAAAGAGATTGGCCTTTAGGCTACCATCCTCTCCGATGTCTTTCAAAGGCTGAAGTTTCTCTGCGTGTAAGCAAGCAGTTTCTTTTAAACGAGACCCCAGTCTTTAATGAGAGGCGAAATGAAGCTATCTCAAAATGAGGGTAGTCCCAAGAGTAGTAGCTGAAGATGCAGCCAGGCACTCCTGCATTTGGAACCAAGCCAGTGCACACAGGCCACTGTCTGTGTCTGGGTGGAGGCTACCTTCGGTGCCAGAGCCCCACCCCCATCTGCTCTTGGCCACTGGGGTCCGAGTGTGCCAAGAGAAAACTGTGACAGCTGGAGCGCTCCTCACTGTAACAACTGTTGGCTAGTCACACGGGCCTATGCTTTCCCAGATGTGCTCTTGGATCATAGACAAATGGCCATCCATTTGCTTCTCATGCTTCCCGGCAAATAATCCTGGTTTCCTGTGCATAGCAACCCAGTGGTTCTCACACTCTACCGCGAGCTGGAATAACCCACAAGCTTGCTAAGACTCAGAACTGCTGTTCTCCCCTACTCTGGCCCAGGTCTCTGACTGGGTGGATCTGGAGTGAGGCCTGAGACTATGCACTTGCTTCAGGGTCCTGTTAAGGCACATTTGAGAGGAGCAGTCTTGGTCCACCTCATCTTTGGGCCAGCAGCAAGAGTAGCACCTGGAAACTTCATAAGCTCTGGTTAACTGCCCTCCAAACCCGTTCTGGAAATCTGGGAACAGGTCCAGGAGTGTTTACTCAACCTCTCCACCCCAAGCCAGTGTCCTGCCTATTTGCCAGAGACAAAGGATGACTGCTTCAAAGTAGCTAATGCACTGTAGAAATGATGGGACGGAAGCAGCAGGTTGTGTGTTGCTAGGTAACAAGCCACATCCCAGAGGTGTTCTCAGGCTTCATCATCTGATGGTCTCTGCAGGAACTCCTCCCAGCTAAATTCAGGGCAGCACAGAGCACTGTCTTTCATCTTGGCTCCTCAGGCCTTAGCTGTCCCTCAGGTTTGAGTTTTACTTTGGGATATAAAACATAATTGGTTAAAGTCCCCCTCCCCTTTTTTTCCCCTGGAGACAGGGTTTCTCTGTGTGAAAGTTCTAGCTGTCCTGGAACTCACTTTGTAGACCAGGCTGGCCTTACTTACAGAGATCCGCCTGTCTCTGCCGTCCTTCCGAGTGCTGGGATTAAAGGCGTGCACCACCACCGCCCAGCTTAAAGTACATTTTTAAGGAATTGTTTCAGACTATATTTTAGGTATTAAAACATGCACTTAAAGGCATAGTTCACATGCAGTTTTGTTTTGGTTTGGTGTTTGAGCAGAGTCTCCTTGTGCCGCTCTGATTGTCCTGGAGCACACAGACTGGTCCCCAACTTGAAGTAATCCTCCTGCAGGGGTCTCTTCAGTGCTGGGATGTCAAGTGGGCACCACCAACCCAGCCATGCCCATATTTTGTGTTGTATTAGGCCACGCTTTATTCAGATTGCCCGTTTCTCTGTCTCAACGTTCCATCTTGGACACCACACTATGCTCAGAAGCCTTCTTATGCATCACCAGCACCCTCCCCCCTTATGACCTTGACGTTTTTGAGAACTACAGATCAGCTTGGGTTTTTGACGTGTGTCTGATCTGTGTGTACAGCTCTGTGTGTTTTCCTGTGTATCGGTGTACATGTGTACAGGTGCACATGCGTGTGTATACCCGTATGGAAGCTGAGGTTGCCATCTGTAGCTACTCTGAGGTTAGGTGGAGAGCATTGCAGTCTGCGGTCACCCTGAGGACAGGGTCGCCCCTCTCCCGCCCCCCCCCCATTGTCTTAGCCTTGGTAGAGGTGAGAACTCTCTAGCGGTTGACTGCTTTGCTTTTCTGATTTTCAGTTTGAACCCGGTGTCTGTCTTTGGTTTATTGTTGTTTTTGTTGTTGTTGTTGTTGGTGGTGGTGGTGGTGGTGTGTGTGTGTGTGTGTGTGTGTGAGAGAGAGAGAGAGAGAGAGAGAGCCTCGCCTTTAATGACTGAGCCATCTCTCCAGCCCTGTCTCTGGGTTTTTATTATTCATGCTACATTACATATCGAGCCAGGGTCTCTTGCTGAACCCAGAGCTTGCCTTTCTGACTATCCAGGCTAGCTAGCGTTCTTGGGAAAGCCCCTGTCACTCCTTTTCAAGTGCTGGGGTTCTAGGCAGGCCACCACACCCACCTGGCATTTACACATTCAAACTCCAGTCCTTCTTGTATGGCAGATACTTTACCCAGGGAGCCATCTCCCCAGCCCCTGGCCAGGTATTGTAGCGATCACCTCTCACTTGGAACATCTGACATTTTCTTTTTCTCATGGTTATTCTGTGGTCATATGTGTTGGGGGAAGCTTGCTAATATAAATTGGCATTTTTGTGACATTGCAAATTCTTAATGATGTAACCATGAACACAGCTGTCAAAGTTGATGTTGACTCTGGTTACCTGAATGAGATAGCTAGTCCAGTTGATACCCACACTGTGGAGCTCTTGATTTCATCCTTTCATATTGGAAGGAAGTTGCTACGTACAGGCTGTTTTAAATCAAGAATCACTATAGCTATTATATAGATCCCTCTGTAATGGATTGATCTACTTGTTCCCATTTATTTGTGTCTTCAATCGTTAATATCTATCAGTACAGACTCATGAAAATGTTCTGCCTAATGTCCTGTGCGGCTCAGGCGGTTCTATTTCTGGCTGTCCCGTTTCAGGTGGTGGCATGGCCTCTTGGACACATAACTGCTGCTGTGTCTTGTTTCGCTTTCGAGTGGTTTCCTACTTTCTGGCACTAACGATTCTCTAGGTTTGTCTTGCACCCCCCCCACTCAGTACTACATCCCCTGCTCGGCAGGGGACTCTCCCGTCCTAGTGCTCAGCGCTACACGTTCCCCCACTCACTATGGGAACACAGGTCATTCTCCAGGCAGCCCTGGCTTCTTTCTGTAGATGGTGCTACCAGGACAGTAAGGATGCATTATGCTCCTGGAATAAGCTTGCTTCCAGCCTCTCTTCAGTAGATGGGAATGTAGATGTGTATAGTAACCCGTCTGTGCACATATAAGCTAAGCATGAGTTCACGACGATATGGCCAACTTGCCCTCATCACCACTGTGCTTTGCTCCAACCTCCATTGCTTATCTGTAACCTCCCTCTCCAACAGTGTGAAACTGGCTCCTGCTGTCTGTCTGTCTGTCTACTTACTGTTCAGTAACAATACAGGCGCAAGGTGGTTTAAACTCATTAACTGGTCCTCATAAGAAGCAACTAGGACCTAGCTACGGGTAGAAGAATTGTGAATAGCTCTCTTTTTCTTCTTGATTTGTTTCAGACATCATGTGTGTCTGCACCTTCCCCCCCTCCCTTCAGCAAAGTCACACACACAGCACAGTTAAAGCTTTTCCTTACGGCCTGGGTACCACCTCCAGCTTCTCTCACGTCCTGGCTGATAGTTTTAAAAAGCATTGTGTTCATTCCTTAAACCTAACTGCACTATAAACTTCCCTAGGTGTTAGCAAATATTCAATGCCCATGTGACCACCATCGCAATATTAAACAGAATGTGACCCCCTCCCCATTTACCTACGCAACCCTCTCCAAAACTCTGAGCCATCTCCAGACTATAATTTTGCTTTTCTAGACCTCATTAACAAGTCATGCACACACACACCCTTTTCACACCAGCTCCTTTCACTTAGCTGCATGTTCGGTGTTCAATTATGCGGTTGCTGCATAAATTACCTTTATATCCAAGTATCTACGTATTATTCTCAGAATATTTCCTGTTTAAAGGGGGGAAATGGAATTCGTAAACAAATGTTGGTGGGAGCCAATGGAGGAGGAAAGGGGTTTGCAGAATTGGGCCGCTGGGGAGACAGTATCATTTATGCATTAAAAACCACATTCATGAAGCATGGGATACAAATTTGCATGAAGGTCACCCAGAGGAGCTCTACTTTAAAAAGCTTCTGTCTGGAAACTGATAGGTCAGGGGGGTTCTACATTTCCATTGGACCATTTAATTTTCTAGTAGGATCTCGAACAACTATGCACATATCTAGATTGTCCTGGAATTCAAATATGTTGTTTATTTTAAACTCTGTTTTCAAATTGGTGGTTAGCACCACCACTTAGACGGGCAGGTGTTGAGTGACAAAGATAGGTAGCTTGTTTCTCCAAGTCCCAAATGGATTTCAGAAATCATCAGCTGCATCAAAGACCCCAGGGGACCAGTTCCACTGCGACCATCCTTGTCGGAGGATAAAGGTGATGAAAAGATTATCCTCCTGGTGAGGGCATGCTGGGACGAGTCTCCAGAGCAAAGGCCAACCTTCCGTTCCATCAAGAAGGTGTTACAAGAAGCCAGTCCCAGGGGGTAAGCTAACTGTGCAATAGGTTCTTCCTTCTGCTCTTTTAGCCATGGGAACTGAAAAAACTTCATGGTTCTCTCTCTGTCCTTCCCTCTCCTCCCAACCCTTCCCTCCTTATGTTTCTTTGTCTCCCCCTCCTCTCTCCCCCCCTCCTGTCTCTCTCATCCATCGTCTCTTCTGCCCCCTCCTTCCCCCTGTTATCATATCCACTTAATGCCCGCCATTTACACACTGTGTTCTACGCTGGTTAAAGCGGAATGGTTGAGTCTCCATTTACTTTGTGCACACGAGCCAGACACTAAGGTCACTGCTCACCGGGCCCTTCCAGACATCTCTAATCAGTTAAGGCTCTCTTTCCCAGGACTTTTTGACACCGCCTTAGTGTCCTTTTCAACTGTTATCCCAAGGATCATAACTAATATTGGGGGTTGGATTACAGGATAACGATCATTCACCAACTTTAGATTATCACTCATTGGTTTTATTCTACAGAGCTGAGGATCAGATCCAGGGCCTGGGCTAAGCAAGGGGACACTGAGCTAACTCCCAACCTTATAGTTTGCAACTGACTTTGGGTTAAGCTTGCCTCTCAAATCCATTTTCTCAAAAGCAGCTTCCTACAAAGTAGGCTGATAGAATAACTTCTAAAAAACAAAACTGTATTTATGTGGAAGTGTGTGTGGCTTCCTAAGTTTATGTGAACCAGTGATTGTAAGTGTCCATGGATGCGTGACATTGGTGTCCAGTTCCCTGGAACTGGAGTTATAGGCAGTTGTGAGCTGCCCCGTGGGTACTGAGAGCCAAACCTGGGTCCTCTGCAAGAGCAGGAAGAGTTATTAATTAGTGAGCCTCCCCAGCCCCATTATATCTCCTTTCCCTTTCCTTTTTTCCTTCCTGTTCTTTCCTCCCTTTCTCTCTTTCTGCTTTTTCTTTTTCTTTCTCTCCCTCTCTTCTTTCTTTCCTTCCTTTTTCCTTCCTCCTTCCCTCCCTCCCTCCCTCCCTCCCTCCCTCCCTCTCTCCCTCCCTCCCTTTGAGACAAGTTCTTACTCTGCAGCCCTGCCTGGCTTGGAACTTGCCACATGGACTGAGCTGAGAAGTTTGTCTGCATTTGCCTCCCCAGTTGGCCTGATGGTATAATACAGTGAAAGTTTAATTCCCCAGAGGCAGCTTGAGGAAGCAGAGAGAGCCCTGTCCTGAACGTGTCTACTTCTAATTGGCCCATTTAACGTGGCATTCTTAACATAACAACTGGTGTTATTTTCCAGGTTATAATAGTATTTTTTAATTTCTAATTTTTATATTATTTTAATTGCTATATGAAATATTGATACTAATTATACTAATCAAATAAACTACGATGTTTCAAAATATGCATTCTTTGTCTTATGGTCCCAACATTAAGACAAACTTATTTCCTGCCTGAGTCTGAGTCTCTTCTCATCTGGAAGGTGAAGGATTAGGTGACCTCTTAGGGACATTCTGAGATGGAATCTACACAGGGTCCATAGCGAGCAATCTGAGAAATGTCCTGTTCCACAATCTGCACTTCTTCACTTTGTTATAACTGTGGTATGGAGCATGCTGGGAAGTGAGGAGAAGCCGTCAAAGGCCACTGCGGATTGTTGGCTGGCCACAAGATTCACCCCTAGGCATTTTAGACACATTAGCTCCTGGAATCCCCAGAAAACAATGGTAGGGTGCGTTTTTTTTTTTTTTTTTTCTTCAGATGAGTGAACCGAGGCTCAGAAGACTAAAAGACGCCCCTTCAGCTGGGGGCCAGGCGTGGTACAGTCTCGTGGTGGGGCTTGGCCTCTGCTGTCCTCAAGTAGCACACCTGACAATGAGTGTTTTTCTGGCCATGTGTTGGGGTGTGTCTCCCCTGTGGTCCCGTGGTTCCTGGAAGAGGATGCTAACATTTGCACTTTTGTTTTTAAAGCCGTGTAAACCTCTTGGATAGCATGATGGGCAAGCTGGAAATGTACGCCCGTCACCTGGAGGCAGTGGTGGAGGAGCGGACCTGCCAGCTGGCCGCAGAGAAGAGGAAGGTGGAGAGACTCCTGTCCACCATGTTGCCCAGGTATTCGGGAGCAATGGTGGGCAGGCAAAGGACAACCCGAGGAAGAGGACACGTGTATTTCCGTTGTTCTTTTTCTAAAAGAGTGCCAAGCTTTGTGAAAGGGACCCAAGCAGGGGGAGGATACTGGGTGGTAGGTGGGGAGGAGGGAGGGAGAGAGGGAGGGGTAGAGGGAGAGAGGGATGGAAGGAGAGGAGGAGAGGGAGGGGGAGAGATATGTATGGATGCAAAAGTTGGCAAACTGGCCCACCTTGTTCATGAAAATACAGGCAAACCAACCCAAGCCACAGGAATGGAAGCTATAGTGTAGTTTATGTGGAAGGTAGTGAATGCAGCAATAGGATATAGCCACTAGATGGCAGTCTAGTTGCATATCTAACCCCTAAGCAACAACATGAGCCTGAAATTTTTGCTTAGTTCAAAAAGTGCCCGTAGCATCAATATTCAAAACTCACTTTTTCCATCTGCACATTCTTTGAACACTAGGAAAAAACATTTGCTATCAAAACTCTTGTACACTTGAATGTCAACGAAAAAGTGGGAGGGGGAACAGTTATTTTGAGATAGGGTCTCAATATGTAACCCTGGCTGCCTTGGAACTTATTGTGAGGGTAAGGTTCTCTTTGAACTCACAGAGATTCATCTTGCCCTGTCTCCCAGGTGCGGGGATTAAAGGCATGGGCCATCGTATCTGTCTAGAGCAGTGGTTCTCACCCTGTGGGCTATGACCCCCTTGGCAACCTCTATTTTCAAAAATATTTACATTATTATTCACAACAGGAGCAACATTTACAGTTATGAAGTAGCAAAGAAAATAATTGCTGGTTGGGGGTCATCACGACATAAGGAGCTGCATTAGGAAGGTTGAGGACCACCTCATGGGGTGCACTCATTAACACACCAAGTCTTTACCATCAAACTCCACATGCGATGATAGGAAGGAACAAGATGTTTTCAGTGAGAAATATCTTTAATGAAGCCATTTCTGTGACCTGTGCCTGACCTCCCTCCTCTCCTGCAATTTACAGCCACCACTTAAAATATCTCTCTAGAGAAAATGCAAGTGGATAAATGCATGTCATGACAATCCCTCTATGAAGCATCCATCTAGTTATTCTTTGTCAATAAAAACTGGGAGTCAGATATCGGTGCAAGAACCTGAACGATCAGAGACATGGCAGCTGCCAGTGACCCCGGCTCTTATGTTGCTCTGTCCAACAGATCCTCTCTCAGCCCTGCCTTACTACTTCCTGTCTCCTATCTGTCCTCAGTCCTCCAAAAGCTCTATGGCTAATTTTGGTCATCTACTGGCTAGCTCTCTCCTCTGACCCCAAGAAAGCTTTAGTGTAGAATATAATCAAAAATATCACAAACACCTCTAGGTGGTGAATTTAATAAGTAAAATCCCAGCCTACCAAAGCCAGAGGGTCTGTAGAAGGGTTGCCTTTGCCGTGGAATCGGAACCAAGCGTGAGTTGGCTGAGAGCTGTCATTTCTGTGGTTGCAGCTTCGTTGGAGAGCAGCTCATAGCTGGAAAGTCTGTAGAACCAGAACATTTTGAGTCTGTCACCATCTTTTTCTCTGACATCGTGGGATTCACAAAACTGTGCTCTCTCAGCTCTCCCTTGCAAGTGGTGAAGCTCCTCAACGACCTGTATAGTGTGTTTGATCACACGATACAAAGCCATGATGTGTACAAGGTGAGTCGAGACTTGTACAGACTCCTATCCACTGTCTCTGGGCTGACTGAGGGCAGACCATACCTCGGCCAATCTCAGTTCACGGCACTAGAGACTCCATGTTTTATTTCTGTTTGTCTTCTTGGGAAGGGGCTTGATTAGTCCCAGATGTACATGCTTGTTCAGAGTCACCGTGTGGGGACCGCAGATGACTCAGTCACTGAAATGATGGTCTTGTAAGCTGGAAGACTTGAATTTGATCCCCACAACCCATGTGAAAAATATGCAGGGCTTCATGGTACAAAGTTCTCGGCCCTGGGGAGACAGTCAGGTAGATTTCTGGGATTCACTGGTCACCCATCTTAATTGGTGAGTTCTAGGCCAGTGAGAGACCTTGTCTCAAAAACCAAGGTGGGAAGCACCTGAGAAATGACAATTGAGGTTTTCTCTGGCTGCCATCTACATGAACATATTCTCCCTCTCCCTCTGCCTCTGCCTCTCCCTCTCGTTCTCTCTCTCCCTCTGTCTCTCTCTCTCTCTCACACACACACACACCATTGCTACCATTATTCTCTATCTCTGCCCATTATTTTAATCTCACAGTAAACATGTTTGTCAAGAGGCATTGGCCAGTACTAAACGTGTGTCCTTCAGATCCCAGGAAGCCTGTAGCTGCCCCCTGTACATCTGTGAATCTCACTTCTGTGTTTGCAAAATCCTTAGCAATCCAGGGCGAAGATAGAGTCTTCACATTTAGACTGCCGTGCTGAGGCTAAGGGGAGATGACAGCTTTGACCCCCATGGTGCTGCTGAAGGGCACATAGACATGGCCCCCAGAGTGCGAAAGGAGGCAGAGGAAGAGAGCAAAAAGCAGCGATGGTGTGTGTGTGTGTGTGTGTGTGTGTGTGTGTGTGTGTGTGTGTGGCGGTACTGATGCTGGTCTGTGGTCAGATCACAGTGATGCTGTGTGTGTGTGTGGGTATGGTGGTACTGATGCTGGTCTGTGGGTCAGATCACAGTGATGCTGTGTGTGTGTGTGTGGGGGGGGGGCGGTACTGATGCTGGTCTGTGGTCAGATCATAGTGATGCTGTGTGTGTGTGTGTGTGTGTGTGTGTGTGTGTGTGTGTGTGTGGCGGTACTGATGCTGGTCTGTGGTCAGATCATAGTGATGCTGTGTGTGTGTGTGTGTGTGTGTGGCGGTACTGATGCTGGTCTGTGGTCAGATCACAGTGATGCTGTGACTGTGTGTGTGTGTGTGTGCGTGTGTGTGTGTGTGTTTGTGTGTGTGTGTGTGTGGCGGTACTGATGCTGGTCTGTGGGTCAGACCACCGTTAGGGAAGTACTGTGTTCCTGGGCCTCTGTATACTTGCTAGGCAGCCACAACAGAACCACCCCGCCCATGACCCCAGAACCCTGCCTCTGCCTCTGTCAATGTTGAGGACAGAGAGGGACTGAGACAGTTTGGGGGCAGTGTGGCGTATCCCTGAGTGACAGATACTGAGTGGGCATCCCCTACCACTCCTCACAAGGGATGATGGCACAGAGAGCCTCTGAGACCTGATCACCAACCCTGCTGTACCCAGGGGGTGCCCCCTGGTTTATGTTTGTGAAGGTTGATCTCAGGATGGGAAATGTGGCCTCGAACAGGGTTAGACTTGTTGGGTAGTTGACTTATTTTGGGGTCACCAGGAGAGAAGTGTTCCTACAGGCAGACATTTTCCTACTACCTGACGAATATAGTGGTCTTCTGCACCATCTCTGGGGTCTGCAAAAGGCAGAAATCTTGGGCTTTAGTTTTAGTCTTCTGTTACTTCTATGCCAGTAAGGGCTCTGGACTCTGGTTTTATTAGGGGACTGGTGGAGGGGGGTACAGATCAGTGATACAAATATGTATGTGTGTGTGTGTGTATGTGTGTGTGTGTGTGTGTGAGAGAGAGAGAGAGAGAGAGAGAGAGAGAGAGAGAGAGAGAGCATTGTGAATGCTGTGTGAACATTTCCAAGGCCTTGTGTAACATGAGAGCGTTTCGGGTTGACTAATATGGACTCTGCTTGAGAGATCCAGTCTGTCCTCCAGGATTTACCCAACTTATATATGGCTAATTTGTTCTGACCTTGCACTAGGGAAATATGGCACCAGGGTTATCAGGTCTACAGATGCAAGCAGCGGCTACAGGGAGGAGGGATGGCTTGGGCAGGAGCCAGGGCAAGAATAGACACTGGGAGAAATGCTCGACCCAGGTGGAGTGGACATCAGTGAGAACCGAGCTTTGGCGAATGGGGCCTCAGGGGAGGAGAGGGCTGGGAAGAGGGGTCTCGTCTAACCCATCTCCTCATTTTCCCATGCCTCCCTCTTGGGAAACTAAGGACACTTTGTTGCGTCATTTCCAGGTTGAAACCATCGGAGATGCATACATGGTGGCCAGTGGGGTCCCCATCCGCAATGGAGCTCAACATGCAGATGAGATTGCCACCATGTCCTTGCATTTGCTTAGTGCCACCACCCACTTTCAGATTGGGCACATGCCCGAGGAGAGACTCAAGCTCCGGATAGGACTGCACACAGGTAGATAAAACCAGTGGCAGGTGGCAGACGGTGGGAGCGTGACCGCAGGGGGCTCTGGACTTGAGCCCTGTGTCTGAGGCTTTTAGGAACACAGTCATTAAAGGGCTATGGTGCCCCCACAGGGGACCACAGAATGCACGTGTATTTCCAATTGAAGTGATGCCTGAGAATAAGGATACATAGAAAGCAGATGTTTAAAACACACACACACACACACACACACACACACACACACACACCGGGGCAGGCGGAGTATGGGAGCCAACAGTGGTCCACATTTCCTCCTTTTTCCTTTTAGATTGCTTTGGTACATTCTCTTTTTGTCAAACTCATGGGCTTGTGACTTGCAGATGAATGATCCCTACTTGGCTCAATAGTCTTTTATTGCTTTTTTGAAAAAAAAAAATGAGAGATTCTTGCAGCTGGGAGTCACAGCTGAAGTTCGCCATAAGTTTGTGATCTTCTTGCCTCAACCTCCCTAAAGATACAGGCAGATACTTGTCTCGATGCCCCTCTGAGAAAATGCTTCATATTTTTCCTTTGCATGAGTCCTCCGCCCAAATCATGTAGCCATGGTCCTCCTATCCAACTGGAAGCAAACCCGATTTCCAGCCAGAATTTATTCCTCAAGTTCATGCTGCTTGGGGGGGGGGGGTTGCTTACCTCTGCAGTTCATGAATAATGCGGATAAGGTTCAGCCGCTGATTTCTACAAGAAGTGTGTGTGTCCTATAGATGCTTTACGGGCACTCTACGATGCGCATTGTCCAGCATTGCCCCAAGAGGATTCTTCAGTAAACACTTGTTGAATCAGTTTCCTGTATGGACTTGATGGCCAGTGTGGAGCCCAGCCTTGGGGAATGCAGGCCGTTAGACCCTTCTATTGTTTCCCCCTTAGGTCCGGTGGTGGCTGGTGTGGTGGGAATCACCATGCCCAGATACTGTCTGTTTGGAGATACTGTGAACATGGCATCCAGAATGGAAAGCAGCAGTTTGCGTGGGTATCATTCGCATCACTCTGCAAGCACAGCATCCCTGTCCCCTCTTATCTTTAACCACTGGGTATTTTTAGGAACTCATTTGCATTTTGTCTCTTGTTTTCCATCTGGAAGATAAGATCATTATTCCTGGGAGACAACCTGAACCACCAGCTGTGTAGACAGCTTCCCGCCCCCCCTGTGTGCTCCGTGGAGCTACATAAACACACATGGGTTCCTCCTTTTAAACCTCTCTCTCTCTGTGTGTGTGTGTGTGTAGGGGGCAGATGTCAGGTATTTACCACTGTTCACCTTATTTTGGGAGACAGGGTCTCTTACTGAAGCTGAAGCTCACTGATAGATGAGTCGGGGGGCCAGTGAACTCTCAGAATGGACCTATTTCTGCTCCCCAACACCGGGGCTATAGTCATGCACAACACCCAGCTCATATATGGGTGCTGGGGATCCAAACTCAGGTCCTCAAGCCTACATGACAAGCACTTGACCCGCAGAGCTATCCATCCCTGTAGCCTTTCTTCCCATTTTTTTCAGGGTCTTCAAATAATTTTATTGAAATTGAACAAATGAGTTCAGTTTTCCTGTGCTGGGGACCACCCTCCCCAAGCCATTTCCCACAGTCTAGAAGCCCAGAGCTTCCACAAATAAGGGGAAACATTTTAAAGCCATCTCTATATAGAAATCAGACTCTGTCCCAACATTATCATAGTCTAGACTATTTACAAACCTTCACATTTTAATTCCTCCTTTTATATGCTTTCCCCCCTTCTTTTGACCCTTACCAAGGAGCTCCAGTACTTTCCCTTAACTGACCCTGAAGGGGTAAAGATACTGTAAGGGAAGGGGCGATGAAACCCTCATAGCTACTGGCAGCATCACCACTGGGGGATGGGCAGCCCCTCCCCCACAGCTGGGGATGGGTGGGACTGTACAAAGACAAGGGGGGTTAGACAGAATATGTGGTTTGGGGCAAGCCAGCATGCATAGCCTGTCCTGGCCCCGGCCTGCACCCTCTCAGCTTGGAGGAGGGCAAGTAGCTGAAATCATAGAGACCAGTCCAGCCCTGGGTGAAAGCAGGAGCCTCCCACACTGGGTCCCATTCTTATCTAACGGCCAGTCAACTGTCCGTGTTAGAGGCTGTCTTGCCATTCTTAACAGACTGCACACAATGAAAGCATGTAACAAAAGCACAAATTGGAAAGGTTTTTTTCTGTAGGCCTAGACATTAAATATTTTAGTTTTCAGTGTCAGTTGCAACTACTTAATTCTGATGTTGTAGTTCAAGAGTAGATTGAGAAACATGTGAATGTATAGCAAGACCCTGTTCCAATAAACCTTTATTTGCAAACACAAATAGTGTGTAACTTGCCCTGGCGGTGCAGAGGAAATCTGTGACCAGGACTTTAGGAAGCACCATATTTGTGTGTGTTTTCTAGTAATTTTATTGAACCAGCTGTTATTTGAAATATATGGCATATATGTCAAGCTATTGTTCAGTTGAAATATGGAAAAACAATCCTCAGTGGTGGAAGTTTCAAATGGTTTAGGTTTCCATTGTTCTGAATGTACTGATTTCTCATACTGTATAAACACACAGTTATTCCATTGCCCAAGTCAACCACCCAACTTTAAAGCACAGATTTGACCTATTAGCTTGTGAAGGAGTGGCTAGAGTAAATGTGGAAGCTGGCTGGTAGCTCCGCTCCCAAACTCTTTTTGCAAACACCTTTGGTTATGGTAACATTTTCAGTAGTATGTCTTCCGTTCATTTCAGGAAGTTTGAGAAACTCAGTGAGCCTCTGCCAACTTGTAGAATGAGCCAGTTCTCTTTGTCCCTAAACCAAACACGAAGAAGCATCCATCAGTATCCAATGCCTATGTGGTTAAGAGTCCCAAATTATGTGGCCCAGACACTGGGTATTACTTGTGCTTTACATTTATCTACCTTCCTGCCTGTCTGTCTGTCTATTATCTATCTATCTATCTATCTTCTATCTATCATCTATCTATATTCTAGTTAAGATCTGTCTGTATATCTCTATCTATCTATCTCTATCATCTGTCTGTATCTATCTATATCTGTCTGTCTGTCATCTAGCTGGCCTAGAACTTATGGTGTAGTTAAAATTGGTCTTGAGCTCCAGATCCCCTGTCCATGCTTCCTGTGGGCTGGGATTATGTTACCCAGCTCTGTTTTGGTTTCATGAGAAGTTCTGGAGAGGAAAGAATGAGAGAGTAGGGTTAGTCCCCTCTTCAAAGAAGCCCTCACATCCTGACTCCTGTCAGACTCCTCAAGTGACCTGATGTTAACTAGGCAAGGCCTGGTTTCTGGCAGCTTTCCGGATCCATGTTTCTCAGAGCACCGCAGAAGCTCTTCTTGCAGCAGGAGGGTACCATCTGCAAAAGAGAGGCACCATTTCAGTCAAGGTAAGGCCAGGTTGACTGCGTTTCACTTCTCTGGTTTGTGTCCTTGATGGACATGTTGAAGAATTGTGGGACATGAGTGAATCTCTGTACAGAGGAGCAGGGAGCCGTCTGGGGGCTCTCTAGAGGCTTTTGTAACTGCTGGGTCTGCCTCCTGAGGAGAAGGCTTAGACCCCTCAGTGGTCAGATATGGATTTCCAATAGAAAATGCCTTTGCTATGACTCCTGAGGGATGCCGTTTCTGTCACCAAATAGTTTGTCAGCCTCCACTTGGACACTACAGTGGAGTTCCTCAACAAAGACACAAAAGTCTCTTTTGTAGACGGAGTTTTCCCATCCAGGCAGCTGCTTCCAAATAAGCACTCTGAGGCTTATGTTAATTGTAAATGCTCAGTCAATAGCTCGGGCTTATTACTAACTAGCTCTTACATTTTAAGTTAACCCATATTCTTTATCTATGCTCTGCCATGAGCTGGTACCTTCTTTCAATACAGCATGATCATAGTCCACTCCCTCTGTGCATGCCAGTGACTCTTCTGACTCTGCCCTTCCTCATACCATCATCCTCAGTTTGGCTCGCCCGCCTAACTCTATCCTGTTCAGCTATTGGCCAGTCAGCTTGTTTAGTAAAACCAATCACAGAAACATATATTCACACAGTGCAAAGGAATACTCCACAGCACTTTCTCCTTTGTGTCCCTTCCCCTGGGACCAACATGTCCATATCCAGACTGAAGGGACAGAAATCTATTGGTTGGCCTCGGAGATAACAGGACCTCATTTCTCTGTAATACAAAAACCAAAACAAAACAAAAAACAAACAAACAAAAAAACCCACACTCTACCGTTTTCTTTGTGTTCTGCATCCTGGCCTGTCACCGAGAAATGACTGGATGGCGCATTCTCGTCACCCCCATTCAGACTTCCCTTTCCTGGGGTGGGGGAGGAGAGGAAAACAGCTGCTCCTCTGGAGATGTCCTCAGTGTCCTCTTGGAGATGTACACACAGCGCCAGTGGTGGTCACTGTGACACCGTCCGTTTGCGTAGAGTGGGAACCTAGAGAAAGAGGCGTGAGGGCCTAGTTTCATTCCCTGGTACTGGGAACCTAGAGAAAGAGGCGTGAGGGCCTAGTTTCATTCCCTGGTACTGGGAACCTAGAGAAAGAGGCGTGAGGGCCTAGTTTCATTCCCTGGTACTGGGAACCTAGAGAAAGAGGCGTGAGGGCCTAGTTTCATTCCCTGGTAATGCCAAAGGCAGGCGCTGACAAGTGAGTAGTAATGTCAGCTCCCCGGTACCAGCACACCGTATCCCTCGCAGGTGGAAAGAGGACCTTTTGCAAGCAGTGTGGTAGAACCTTCTTGGGATGATGTCCCCTCCTCACTGGGGATCTGACTGGAGGACTTGGGTGTGCATGTGGAAAATGGGCGTGGTTGTAATGTTGAGCTTGCAGATTCTATGTGTGTATGCATGTGACGTGCTTTCCTTGGCAGTCAAGTCACACGAGGAATTCAGATTTTATTTTTAAGATTGGGGAGTGGACAATGAACTGCCATGCAGTCATGAGCAAGCCAGACCCAGCCTGGCTTCCATGTCAGCTGCCCACCAGACAGACCCTCCTTCACTTCCCACAGGGCAAGGGAGAACAGACCACCTTCTGGTTGAAAGGCAAAGATGGCTGCACTGTCCTGCTCCCCGAGTTTACTGAGGAGGAGGAAGCTACAGTTCCAGAGGTCTCTTGAGGCGGGTAGGTTCTTTCCAGATGTTTGTGGAGCCCCACTAATGCCTGTGGGGATCCTTTTGGGGAAATGCACCCAATATCCGTCCATCTGAAGAGGCGTAGCTCTGGGGCACTGAATCAATCTCCCACTAGGGGGCACTGTCTAACTGGTTTTCCCTCCTGCTTCAAACATTGCTCCTAGAGTGCCACCTAGTGCGGCCCTGGCAGAGGTGGATGTAGGGTACTCATTTCCTGGAATAGTTGGCCAAGGGGCCGCATGCATTTGCTTAGAAGGAGCTAGGAACCCCAAATGGAAAGCCCCCACCATGAGCTCAAGACAGAAACTGTCCCGTGCCAGGCCGGTACGGGAAGACGGATGCATTGTGAGCTAGATGACCAGGTTCTCAACTCTGTGAGGGCAATGGGTAATATTCTGCCCACAATTTATTGCCTATTGCTCCTACACACCATGCAACAGCTCTTGAAGCCAAGATTTGAATTTACCTGGAACTTTCCATTCGTTTATGCACAGAGTAGTTTAACGAATTCAGATGTGGAAGGCGAGCGTGCCTGGTCCTGTGATAACTATTTTCTCTTTTGAACACACACACACAATAAGTTCTGCGTTGAATTGTTTGGGGATTATTTTAAGTGAGCTACGTTGTTCTTCGTTACAACACTTCTTTCTTGGAGCCTTATACCTCCCCAGCCCATGTGGTTGCTAGGGAATGCAGAGACCGTTTGGATTAAATCCTGGTTTGCTGTTGAAATTCCCAAAAGAAGAAGTGAGACCATATAGGCTTTCTTTGTTGCTGGTGTCTACGGTGGACACATTTTTGAGTACCTTTTGATTTATTGGGGTGCTTGCATTCCAATATTTACAAAAACACCCCCTTTAATTCTTCAGAGCCATTGAAAGCCTTCCTGGTATTAGCCACCCTCCCAACCCTTGAAGCAGTCCTACCCACTGTAATTTGTGTCTTCCCAGAGGTGCATGACTGATTTCTCTTGCCCTTAGAGACTTCCTCTCCTTGGCAGAGTTCTGGCAAGAGGCTCTGCTTCCCCACAAAGCCCTCACAGCAAGGACTGGCCATCTTAGACTGCTGCTTGGGAGGAAGGAAGGCAGAAGGTATTTACGCTGGGGAGCTTCTCCCTTCTACTGCAGCATGGAGACAATGGACAGAGTGCATCTTCTCCGGCTTCCTACCTTGTTCCCTTGTTGAGCATCATGGCTTCTTTTCCTAAACACTTTGCTCCATCATGAAAGAAAACAAATCTTAATCTCTTGTGTGCTTCTTAGATTGATAGGCCAGGCCCTTTACACATCCATCCATCTATTCACCCACCACCCATCCATTCAACCATCTAACCATGCATCCATCCATCCACTGATCCATATATCTGTCCATTCATCTATCCATTCATCCATCCACTCATGCATCCATCCACCCACCCACCCACCCACCCATCCACCCACCCACCCATCCACCCACCCATCCATCCACCCACCCATCCATCCACCCACCCACCCACCCACCCACCCACCCACCCACCCATCCACCCACCCACCCATCCATCCACCCACCCATCCACCCATCCACCCACCCACCCACCCATCCACCCACCCACTCATCCATCCACCCATTCACCCACCCACCCACCCATCCACCCACCCATCCATCCACCCACCCACCCATCCATCCACCCACCCACCCATCCATCCATCCACCCATCCAAGAATTTCATGAACTCAAGGACCATGTGTAAAGTTTTTACTCTGCTAGCTGCCATGCTTGGAGTTTATTCTCTTATGAGAATATGAACTTTCATCTTTATCTTATAGCTTAGTTGGAAGGAGACATTTTTTAACACACAGGGATACAACATTAGGGACCAGTGGAGCTATGAACAAAAAATAGAGTAATCAAATAATCTAATGTCATTATAGTAAAGTGGCATTAGAAAATGTTATTCAATTTCAGAGCGGGTTCGAGTGAGGTCATTGTCTATTATTGCTCCATATTTGTATTTGTATCAATGAGATATGTTTGCTTCTAACCCTAGCTCATCTACTTACCTAATCGTATATTAAAGACTTGGTTAAATCTGTCTTCATTTAATATCTTAGCATAAACACTTGATATCTAGACATTCACATGGACACAAAACACACACATGAACTCAGGCACCTAATGCACACCTATATTCATACATACACACCCACGCACATAATATACTAGGTGCATTTCTATATATATACACAAGAGAAAGGAGAGAGGAGGGGAGAAGGGGGAGAGAAAAGGAATGAGTATAGATACCATAGTTAGGAAATTTTATAAATCTGTATCTAATGGTGTGTGTGTGTGGGGGGGTGCGTGTGTGGGTGGGTGGGTGGATGGGTGGGTGGATGGATGGGTGGGTGGGTGGGTGGGTGGATGGGTGGGTGGATGGATGGGTGGGTGGGTGGGTGGGTGGATGGATGCATGAGTGGATGGATGAATGGATAGATGAATGGACAGGATACCTATGGGAATGTGTGTTTTTCTTTTCTCTGGATGTCTGTTTTGATTTGGTATGAATTCCGATTTGCAGCAGATATTACAATGAGGGTCCTTGTCTTAATCCCTCACAGAGGAGTGCTAAGGCAGAAAGGGTAACTAAACACGTTGTGGGGTTACCGACTAAACCTAAACCACACGATCTAGTGACTGCAAGGGACACTAGAGTTTCACAGGCAGGCATGGCCCAGGTGATCATACACTCTCTAATGTTAGTCACACAAGACTTTACCTCCTTGCCTCTCGCTCTGTAAACTCTTGTGCTAGAGTGTTTGAAGTACAAACGATTGAAAGTTTGTGGAATATTTGGATTAATGAAGGATAGAAACCTTTGGAAAAGGTGTAGGATTGCCTTCCATCATAACACATGAATATGTAAACTACAATCATAGGTTATTTATTCCAGGAATTTTATTTAGTCCATAGCACCGGGTAGAGATACAAGATCATGGTGAGAAATTTAAATATTGTTTTAGCCTGACAGCCAAAGACATAAACTTGGCTATATATATGCTATGTAAGAGTTTCTGACCAGAAGCAATGGATCCTGTTTTCTGTATTTCCCGATTACAATGAATTCCAACTTTACATCAGGAAGAGATTCCAAAGTGATTGGAGCATTATCTAGATATCAAGTTTAGACTGCATGGAACCATCCTAGCCAGCCTATGGCTAAACAAACACAACTTGGTAACTGGTTTAATGTTTAAGTTCATTTATGCAAGTTGTAAAAAAATCAGCAAACTGCAGACTTCAAAACCTCCTAAGGGCATTGAATATAGAAGGACAAACTAACACGTGATGTCAAATGTTAAGTCTGTGTGTGACAAAGAGGAAATTTAGGACTTGGGCCTATCCTGTCATACCCCAGCTGGTGCTCTAGCACGGTTGGTTTATTCGGTTTCTCGTTGACAAGTGTGAGTCACTAATATTGCCACAGGGTGGCCAGTGATGGGCATGGCTGTCATGTGATGCCCTTGCTGTATTTGCATTGCATTTCTGATGTTTTATTGGTTCAGTTCCGACAATCATAAGCGGACGGGATGGAAGCAGACACAGGCATGATCGTTTTCAGTGAGGGTGAAGTGCGTTAGACCACCCCAGACAGGAAGACCTCCTAGAGCAAACCGGTGTGTACACTGAGCATCACAAGCTACGTGGGAGGGGGGTGGGCTCTCAAATCTCAGGGAGCATGGACTCAGCACATACATTTCATATAAGCAATGCCACATTACTGTGTGAAATGAAGACGGATTTTACTCCTACCATTGTCGTTTCCTACTTATTTTTGATTGCAGAAATATAATCAGTTATAAGGATAAGGTTTTATAATACCTACCTAACATTGTATCTATTTAAGAAACCCTATAATAAGAACAAGTTAGTACTAGAGGCGTAAGAACCCACTCCTTGCCTGTTACAAAAGTTTGAGCAAATATACTGTGTTTAACTTGGATTTTCACATTGTCACTTGAAGATTGGAACTTCCTGCGTAGGGGCTCAATTCTTGTCCTTAGAGCTCTAATGTCTCAGTGACAGAGTGCCTGCTGGGTAAAGTTGGCTATCCCCATGGAATCTGTATATGGCATTGATTTTTGAGCCAGTCTTTGCCTCCAAATGCTAAGCTGCATGTGGTGTTTGTGTGTGTGTGTGTGTGTGTGTGTGTGTGTGTGTGTGTGTGTGTATGTGTGGTAGGATGGAATGGCCCCAGGAAGGAAGTGAGGCTCCAACAGCAGTGGGTCATCAAATTCTCACACACACGAAAATCACGGGGAACACATATTTGGCAAAGAGCTATTCTTGGCTCCCCGGCAATGAAGTCTTCTGTCTGTTCTTTTTGGCAGTACAATAACCGAGTATGTCGTAGTTCAGGGTGGCCTCGGAGAGAGTTGCTGCCGCCGCCGCCGCCCAGCTAGCTCCTATAACACAGCGCAGATCCCCAGCATCAGGATGAGGTGATAGAGAACATCTGTGAATCAGAGGGGGTAGAGACAGCACTGAGAAACAGCTGCATAAGGTCAAGAGTCAGGGAGAATTCAGCCAGAGTTATCGCAGTGGGGCTGTTGTAAAGCTTCCAAAGTTTATACATAGTCATTCCTGTTCCTTCCGCGGGACTTGCACGGTCCACTTCTGCTAACACGTGAGCCTCGATTGTGGGCCATTGGCAAACAGAAATGTGAACTTGGACTGCACGGTGGTGGCACACACCTGTCACTGTAGGGTATTCTCTGGGGGACTTCCCTTTAAAACAAGAAGTGGGCACTGAACTTGGTTTTCTTGCAATACACAGTGTTTCTATCTGTGTGCCTGCACGCCACTGCCCTAGCCCCACCCCATCTCCTTCCGTCCTTGGTCCTTGTCATCTTCCAGGGAGACCCTGGTTACAGCTGGAATGGCTCTTAATCTAAGAAGCTTCCTTGGCCCTCTCCCATGACTGTATTGTTTAAAGCTTAGCTATAATTAATTCTCAGCCTAGCGTGTACGCTAGGGACAGTCATAGCCTGGCTCACACAGAGAAGCTGAGCAGGGAGGGCTGAGGCTCTTCCTTATCCAAGTCACTCCATTAAGGAACGGCAGAGTCCTAGCACGGCCTCAAATATTTGCTAATGAGCAGATGATCTGATCACAAAGTGTCTTCTCCAAATGCAGGAAGGTCAGGAAAGCCACGCGGTGATGGCTCTGTTCAGAGGGTGCTGTGGACTCGGGTGGTCCCTCATCCACTGGAAGCAGCTCCTCCTTTGGGTCACAGGCTGCTTGGAGCCAGACCTGTTTGCCGCTGGCCCCTCTGAGGTGCACTGTAAGATGTATATTTTCCATGACAGATTTTTCTGGGGCCAGGGTAAAGATCTCTACCGGTACATCCACTTCACAAAAGCGTTGCCCCCTGGCAACGCTCAGTACCTGTCCTTACCTGTGAAGTCACAGAGACTGGAGAGTCCCCTGCCTGGAGTGAGCAAAGAGAGAGAATGCAGTTTGAAGAGAGCCATGAAAGAAATATCAGGACTGTTTCTGAGCCACAAACCCAACCATGTCCAACCCCCATCAAATCATGATCCTTCCCCTTTCAGACAAAGCATGTGCATCATCTCCTCGGCTGTCTAAAGCAGAGCCTCCTATGTGTTCTGCAAAGCACAGGATACTAAATACTTTGGGCTTTGCAGGGGGCCAGCCATGAGGTAATTTTTTTCTTTAAGGTTCTAGGCATTCTTACCACATATCCCGGATGGGCCACAAATTCACTATCCTCCTGCCTCAGCCTGAGTACCGAGGCTACAGGTGTGTACCACCACACCAGACATGGCTTCATTGTATTGTCCTTGTAGTGTGACTACTCCTGCAGACAATGTCATCTGTGTACTAATAAAACTTTATAGACACCGAGATTTTAATTCTATCAAATTTTTATGCAACATGGTTTTATATTCTTTTTAGTTTTTGGAACCACAGGAAAGTATACAAAACCTGTTTTGGTTTGTAAGCCTCACAAAATCAAGAAGAAAGCCTGGGGACTTGGCCCTGGTCTGTAGTTTTGCAATTATGCTTTGAGGTGCAACTCCAAAATCTGGCTCCCCCCCCCACACACACTCATAGTGCCTTCCAGGTCACAATGACATTTCCCAAGAGTCTATAAGGCCTGTATGGGGTCAGTTCCTGCGGCCTTACACTCCTGTATCACCCTACCCATCCCCCATCCCTCAACATTCCCTGTCCCCCAGTGTGTATCATCTACCCTGGCTAGAAGGCAACATCCTGAGACAGGGTTTCTAGGAGTGTTGCTCATTTCTGGAACCTCGTGTGCAGGCCATGCTTGGGCAGTGAAGGAGGCTTCCTGACATTGCCAGGACACCTGCATTTCCATCCCTATTGGTCATTGCATGACCTGTTTGGAAGTTCAGCTCAGCATTTCCTAATTCCTGGGAGCATTTGGATTTGGTCCCCGGCAAGACATTCAGGGTAGTCAGCAAACCTCACCTCCTTGGACCCTCAGACCCCCGCCACTCGAGGAGCAGGTGAGTGTTGTGTCCACAGGCACGCCTGGTTTGACAATTCAATCAAAATGCTCAAACCTGCCGTGCCTGTGGGCACAGCCCAGAGTGCACATGACTATCGGGCAACCCGCTTACTCTGCAAGGACAGTTCCACCACCAGGACACCCCCTGTCTGCTCACGTAGCATACGCTTCCGTTTGTCGCAGTTCTGGAGAAATGAACAGTGGAAACAAGAAAAAAAAAAAAAAAATGAAACTTCATGGAGTCCAAGTCCCCAGTCACTACATACATAAGGCGTACACACACACACACACACACACACACACACACACACACACAAAAGCGCGCACACACACGCACACACGCGCGTGCGCACACATGTATGCACCTAGAGTTTATTCTCTTCCAAGCATGGAAAATCCTGCTGGAGTAGTTCAGTATCATTCCAGTGGGGGATGGGCACCGTGACTTAAGACAGGGAAAAGGGTTTTTTACTTTTTCTTCTTAACTCAGTGACAGAAGAGGACACTTGCAAAATGTGTTCTGCTTCATTTTCTTCTGTTAAAACTGCAGCTCCAGTGCCCAGATGCCCACCCTTTGGTTGGTACTGTTTTCCTCCACCCCAGCCCTGCACCTCCCTGTGTTCACAAGCATCTGTATTTTGGCCACATGAGTGGACGGAAGGAGAGACTCAACCTCCTTTCTGCTGGCTCCTCCAGGCCATGTGGGCTGCAGCCTCTTTAGAAGCTCTGGCCTCTGAGGCCTCCAGTTTACATGCAGGACAGAACAGTTTGGAGCTCAGCACTTTTAAGAGCCTGAGGAGGAGCTCTGCAGCTCTGCGAACCCCAGAACCCAGGGCCCTGGCCCTTCCCCTCACTGTGCCGTACACCGTGACCTAGATTCTCAGCATTTCTCTGAAGACAGTCCAATCCAGGCTACAATCACCCACCTCTAGAGCTCTGGCTAGGCCTTGGGTTCCTTGAAACTTTTTACTTCTTCAAAGCATTTTCGTGCCTATGACTATGCTCGTATTCTATCTTCCACTGTTCTCTGAAAAGGGAACAGCCATCAGAACTGATGGATGAGCTCTATTCAGAGATGAGGAAACCAGGCCCATGGGTAAGCGGCACATACCAAGTGGTAAGGTTTGGTAACAAGGTAGAGTGGCCTAGACCTTCTGCTTCTGCATCCAGGACCTATATCTCCCGGGCCAATTCAGCTCCTCTAATCCCAGCCCCTTGGGGGTAATATCTTCCTTCCAGAGCCAGGACCCTTACCACTGGGCAGGAAAGCTTCTCACTGTCACAGATGAAGGTCTCACAGTGTAACCAAACCTTGGAGAGTTTGGGGATGTTCTGGAACCGGAAGGCATTGAATTGGAAAGTTGCCCTGTGATCCTTGCCGTTCTCATGCACGAAGACTGTTTCATCGGCGGGGCAGCTGGTATACAACGGGGGGGGGGGGGGACAAAACATCACACCAGACAACTCCAAAAGGGCTCCAAGGCAAATTCACACAGCGCTCTGGTAGGTGTGTACAGTTATCTGTCCTTTCAGAGAACTCTGATCCCTGGTGTGAGGTCAATTGAAGGGCTATAGGGGTGGATGTGATTGTCTCTATCCTAAATAGGGATGACTTATGAGAACCCACATGTCTGGTAAGATGAACCCCTGTCCAAGAGAAGAAGCCCTCTTTGGTCTGGCTTGGGAAGACCCCAGGGTAACACAAGGTGAGGTCACCGTGAACGAAGGGAGCAGGGTGTTCCAGTGGATGCCTAAGCTCAAGCCACACCCACCGCTAATCTCTATCTGCATTGCCAGGTTTTGCCTGAAGTCAGAGAAAGGAATTTACTTTCAGTTAACACATATTATATAGTAGCCTTTGTAAAAAAAAAATATTTTCCACATATTATCTAGATAATGGGAAGAAATATATAAATGTGTGTTTGCTGAGAGAGAAGTAGGAACTCTCTCATATATATATATATATATATATATATATATATATATATATATATATAATCTCAGCATTCTCTCAGAGAAGTCCTGAGTGAGAAACAAAGGTTGTACCTTCCTATCTGGGCCAAGGGTCAGAGCTATTTCTATTTGTTGTGGCCTTGGCAGTGACAGAGCTGTGAGAATTTTCCAACTGTATGGAATGAGGATCTAACGGGATTGGTTGGCCAGTAAACCTGAGATCCTTGTCTGAACTCAAGACACAGAGCCTTAAAATAGATCTTTGCAGCCAGAGTGCCCTGGGCCTGTATCAGCCAGTGGAAAGTAATGTAAGAGGGGCCTTGTGCTGGGGTAAGGGGAGGCAAATAATGGGCAAGCCTAGGTGTCCTGGCACCGCCATCTCTTGGCGCAAGCTGTGGCACCTGCCTCTTGGTGACATCTCACTCTGACTCTGGTTGGTTGGATGGTGGCAGCCTGCTGGGAGGGCTCCATGTCACCCTGAACAAGTCCCCTGCCCTGCATGGAGTCAGTTTTTTAGGAGAGTGTGCTGTTGCAATTGTGGTGGTAATGTGTACAGGATAATATCTGATTTTATATGTATATAAAACATATACACACACACATATTCATATATGTGTGTGATGTACATAGTAATGTATAGGTATACATATGTGTATGTACACACACACACATATATATATATACATATATATATATATATACATATATATATATATATATATATATATATATCAATAAGGACTTGAAAACTGGAGTTCCACCCAAAGGATCTGGTATAAACAAAGAGTTTTCTTCTAAGCTATTCCAAGCCACAGCAGAAGAGACCAGGGGACACGGACCCACTGGTCTGCATTGACTCCAGAGAGTACCACCTACCCCTTGTTGATCAGCTGCCACTGCAAGGGGTACATGAAGTCAGCCGAGGGGGTGGCCCAACAGCTGTTCAGGACCACTTTAAACCTGGAAATAAAACGAGAAGGTGTCACCGAGAACCAGTCTCTCGTGTACAAACGGCTGACGGCTAGAATCTCTTGGCTGGTCTTTTTTTTTTTTTTTTTTTTTTTTTTCCTTCCTTTTGTACTTAGAAACACACACAGTGTGAAGGGACTTACCGGGTGCTTAGCCCTTTGGCTTCCACTCCTGTGAACAGGTCTGAACCGATTTCCGAAGTCTCCAGAATGAAAGGGGCTTCTCTCTTGGTGGAAAACTTGGCATTCTTAGGAAGGAAATGGGATACCAGGCATTGTGACCCTCTGAGGATGAGCAGTCATGTCTGGTGGGAGCAGACACTTTGGGAACGGATAGATATGGAACCAAGCAACCCAAGGAACAAGCTCACGAGGCCAGAAAAACACTGTAACTCTGAGGATGCAGATGTCATCTTATAAAGGGTAAGGACACTGGCTGGTCATGGTTTGACTCACATTGTCTCAATGATGCCAACAAAACCGACCAATAGAAAAACAATGGAACCTGAGGATGTCAAGACATGGTTCCACAAATCATTCAAGGCCAAGAGCAACCAACTGCACAGAGCCCCTCACTATTCCTGATCCCCTGTACTCTACTCTGTCTGAGAAAATGCTCGCCTGAGTTCTAAAGTTTATGGCGTGATTACCAACAGACATGAGCCATTGATTGCCTGCAATGTATTTAGGTATTGTTCTACATATTTGGAGAGTTTTCAGGTCAAGATACTCTGTATTGTGAGTGAAGCAAGATCTGTCTCCAAATGATCTGGTTTTCAATCAGGAGAAAAAAGACAACAGGAAAGAAGTTCATTACACAGTGCATTAGACTAACATACAGTGTGTACTATTAGGAGCCCCCCAAATAGCAAAGTGAACTGGGAACACGAGGAAGAGAAGTCTGCAGTGTGTGTGTGTGTGTGTGTGTGTGTGTGTGTGTTCATAGGTATGTTTGTGTGGGTACATGGCTGCATAAAGATATACATGTATGGGTATGCACATGTATGTTGAGGCCAGAGGTCAACCTCTGGTTTCATTCCTTAGGCACTGTCTACCTTGAGTTTAAGACAAGGTCCCTCGCTGGCCCAGAACTCACCAAGTGGGCTAGGCTGACCAGCCAGTAAGCACCAGGGATCAGCTGTCTCTGCCTCCCAGCACTGAGATTACAGCTGTTACTATGCCCAGCTGAGGTTGTCTGAAGACAACCTCAGATCCTCACATTAGCATAGCAACTGCTTCCTGCTGGAGCCTTCTCCCCAGGCCCATGTTGCCTGTCTGAAGAGGGCAGCCAGGGAGCCTCATTGAGGAGTTAGCATTGGAGCAAGGCTTGAGCAAAGGGCACAAGGGGCTTGTGCAGCCACACCAGAGAGAGTGCGTGGCTGTCAGGCGAGGGCGTGTCTGTCAGGGCAGCGGTGAGGCCAGGTCTGCAGGAGGGCTAGAGTGAACAGAATCCAGCAGGGGATGGGGTTACAGGGCTACTAGGTAGAGCAAGGAGTGCAGGCCTTGAACCCGAGGGTGCCAACGGGCCACTACCATGACTCAGGAGTGTCAGGGTCTGGTCTCTGGCCCAGCTGACTCTAAATCTATCATCTTCAGATAATGCTCAGTGAGTGATTAGGAATTACAGCTCGGATTGCCTTCCTTAATGGAGGCTGCTCCTCTCCTGTTCGATTCACTTGAATGAGAACCTGGAACTACTCTCTGGCATTAGCCATGAGAGACAGGGGCATTGTCAGAAGGGCTGAGATCCCAGGATAATCCTGGCCCCCACGGGCTAACTTTAGACCTGGTGGAAGGGAACTAGTCTTTGGAAGTCCATTTCTTCACTCCCGTGGGATGGGAACAGCCTCAGTGACATTGTAGAATAGAACCATAAAGCTTAGACTAGGGTGCTTCAAACCCTGAACTTAGAGACTTGCAACTTGTTTGGTGGCAGCAGACAGAACTGACACCCAAAGTGGACGTGGCCTCCTATGGGTCCAGCACACAGACTCTGTGAGAGGCCCCGGATCTCTCTCTGAGGATGACTTACGCTATCCTACAGAACAGGTCCAGCGAGGTGCCTACAGTGAGCCACCTAGAAGCTGGCTCGCTCCTGCCCATTTGTCAGGCCTCTGCTCCACTGAAACGGTTGCAAGCAAAACCAACCCCAGCCGTAAGTGCTTGCACAGTACTCAGTGGTTTCTTTCAGTAGTTTTTAAAGTACTTCTGGTATTGCCTAAAATTTATGAGATTTCAGGGGACGTTGCCATACATGAAGCTAACTCGGGAACGGCAAGTTAGTCCCCAGGTCCCCAGAGATGCCTCTGTGAAGTCTCTCTCTGGAGGTCAGCTGGTAGAGTACGATGTGTATACTGAGCGACTGTCCGATTCTCCATCAAAGCAAAGAGCAGAAGCTGCTATCTTCATTTTTATAACTACAACAATGCTTAGCATGAGTTTTCCCCTTCCTTCTCCCCCCTCTCTCTTCCTTCCTTTCTGGGTTTTTCTATGCAGCCGTCTAGTCTGAAGCTCACTATGTAGACCAGGCTGGCTTCAAACTCCCATCAACTCTGCTTCTACCCATAGTGCTGGGATTGCAAATATGAGCCACCATGCCTGGCGCCCCCTGCTTTCTTAACATGAAAATCAGAGACCTATCTTCAGATAGCTTTACCTCGGTAAGCTATTATAGGCCAGGGAAGTTGATCTTGACATGCCTAAAAGTAGAAAGATCACAAAGACTGCTTTTCCACCTTATGGGATGGATAAGTTCATTGAAAAACCATGTTCCAGCATTCCTTCCCTTGACCAAAAAGTTGACTCACAACTATCTAGTCACCCAACTTAAGGATAAGTTTGCTTCACTGAGCGGAAGTTCTTGTGGGAAGGCCTAGTTGGTTTTGTTCATAGGTGAAATAGCAATGAAAGAAAACTAACCCAAAGTGAATACTTCAGGACATATTCCTAGATTTTTCCAGAACTCCGATGGTGGCCTGCTGTGCCTCTTATCGGCTCACCAGAGGACTAGAATGGAACATTTCAATTCTGGGTCCCACTTTGTAGCAGGCACTGGCCAGCTGGCTTGTGCTGGGAGGAAAGTGACTGGGACAGCGGACAAAACAGAGATGAGGTGTTTAGTTTAAAGAGGGTGGGGCTCTTTGAGAGCCCCGACCAATACAATCCCACGGAATTACTTCAGCAGTCAGGACCAATACCAGTGAGGCGCAGGGCTCAGATTTTACGTGATAGTCTGAAACACAAGGCCTAACTCACCTGGAAGAGGCGGAGTGGCCAGCCCGGAAGTGGAAACTCTGTGGACTTCAGGCGGGAAGTCAAGGGTCATTTCTGGGGTTGGTTCTCATTCTGGAAGGGTCTTTAATTTTGTTTGCCTATGCCCACCATAAACCTTTCCATGCTTTGATTTTAAGAAGCTAACCTAGTCTCACACTGACTTTGATATTCATCTTTATAAAGGTATAGATTCCAAGACCACTCAGAACATCTGTGTGAAATGAGGTCAGAGTCTACACTCATGAGACTTGGGTACTTACCACACACCACTAAATTCTTATTTTATGCCATCAGAGATGGAGGTGCAGGAGGCTCCCTAACTTTCCAAAAGTCATTTAACTAGTAGTTAGTAAAGCCAGGCTTTGAGGCACAGCTCATTTTTTTTTTTTTTTTTTTTTTTTAAACCCACAGGCTCAGGCTGTATCTGTAGACCAACAACCTTTCTTGCTTTCTGAATGGGAGTTTTAACTTTCCCCTGGGAATCTCAACTATGGATCCTTGGCCAAAGTGAGCGGGAAGGGATGGAGAGAAATGAGAGAGGACCCATGCAGAGTAGGAGTGTATCTGGGGCCCTAGCTCTGGACTTCCCAGAATCCTAAATACTTAGCAGTGTGTTGGTCCCATTGTGCGATGTAGGGCATGGTTCTGTTTCTGGTAATTTGATGGAAATATATGCAACGGGGCAGTTGTTGCTTTAGAAACACCCAAGAATGCCCTCAAAGTGGAAAAAAAAAAAATTCATGGGTTAGGCGTAGGAAACCGAGCCCACAGCCGAATATAACAAAGCAGAACAAAAGTGTCTGGACAGCGGAAGCTGAGCTTTACTGAAGTCCATTTGTCCCAGAGGGGTTTGAAGTGGAGTTTTGGGGACACCTTGGCTTCATTTCTAGACAATTCAGGAAATAATTCTGCAGCTCAGAAGATGGCCTGCTGGTGAAGATTGACTGACTGACCAAAGCAATGTGTTCCTTCTATTTCCGAGGTTATGTCTATGTCTTAAACTCAACCCTGGTCGATGGTGAGAGATTTTAAAAACCCTGATCTCTATCACCAACTATTGTAAACATTCATAGGATCAAATCTTCAAACTTATCTCATTAGAATAACTACTAGCTTCTAGGCAGGATTGTAGTCCCTCTGTGGGAAGCTGTTTTTATCATCATTTTATCACCCCTGGTGACCCGCAGGGTGTTGGTCAAGTGGCTGTGGTTATTTCTTGTCTTTGTTTCAGCCATTAGTGATACGAAGCCAGGGCTAGTCTGGATTTTAAGGAAACTTGAAGCATATGCATTTTAGAGATCCTTCCTTAACAATAATTTGTAAAAACAGTAAGACGTTTGAATCCCACATTAGACATGGCTTTGTGGGGAAATGGCCAGGACACTGTACCCCATGCCCTTTGCAGGGATCTCTGTTTCCACCAGGGGTGTCCCTAGGCCCTTGTGTGGTCTTGGGCGAATACCTTCCTTCTTTTGAGCTTCAGCTCCTGGTTTGCAAGATAGACTAGCTTGTTTTAGGATTCTCCCAGCACCCATAGATGAACTTCTGGGCCATAGGTGAAGCAAGTTCAGTGCTAGGGCGGTTTCAGATGGGCTGCTGTTTTCTCTCGCAAAACGAAATGGGTCAGATGTGCTGTCCTCTAAGGACAATTCCAGGGTCCCAACAAAGGTTCGTGTTTCTGCCTGCATGTTCCTGTAGCCAGCTGGGCCAGCATTTCCTCTGGGTGCCCTATGTCCCTACCGGAAGCAGCAACTGGAGAACAAAGTGCCTTTTCTATCGGGAGAGCAGCTGGGCTAACGGCCAGTGCTTATTTAGTTTCTCCACAGCACTTAATTTTGAGAGAGACTGAAGTGTGCCTTTAGCGTCCCACGTCAACACAGGTGACAGATTCAATCAGAACGGCGAGGAAATGCTACTGAAAGGCTTGTGGGCTGAAAGAACGAAGTAGCAGAGGCTAGCCCTTTAGATCTTGACTAACGTTTTTGAGACCCTAATGGCAAATAAGTCTCTGGAGAGAAAGGTAGTAGCAACTAATCTTGAGTAAGAGTCAGACACGGTTACCCTATTGTCCAGTGGCCTCACCTCAATTTCTGTATTGGCAAAAAGGGAGGTCAGCCTCATCCGTGTCATTTAGCTTGTCTATTCGCCTGTGAAGTGAACCTTCCGATGCACCCTGGCTTTAAAGCCAAGCTAAGGCGGCATGCCACCTTTGGAGTTCTGGAACAGGGTTCTGCCCAGAGGCCTGGAGAGAGTGGCTCCCGTGGGAGGCAGCACCCCGAGGACAGACAACCTGGACTTACAGTGTAGAAGTTGAGAGACAACTGGCTTTCAAATGTGCCCATGCTCCCGTTCTTGACATGAACAGTGGCCACTCTGAAAAGGGGAGAGAATTTTGCATAAGGACTGAAACATGTCTGATTGATAGGGACTGTAGCATCCTCATGGTGGCCGGCCCTCCACCCCCAGAGCGGCTTACCTCTGGTCAAAAGCAGCCTGGTTCACCAGGTAAGTAGAGTGGTAGGTGCAGGAGAAGGAGTAGTTGACAGGCTGGTTCTTTACAATCACTGTGCTGTCGTTGGACACGATGTGACTGTAGAAGTGGTAGATGGGAGGCTTGTACTGGAGGGAGGGAGAAGGCGGTTAGGGTGGACACCGTTCCGGTCCCCTGCTTCCGTGATGGGGCTGAGGCCTGGGAAAAGCAGGACATGCTGGTGCATGACTGTTATCCCAGGATTTGGGAGGCAGAGTTTGGATGAGGAGGGATCCCAGGCAAGCTTCAGCTACACAGTGAGTTTGAAGCCAAGAGCCCGCCAGAAATAAAACAAAGCAAACAACCCCATCGAGGAGACAGAAATGTTTATCAGGAATAGGACAGTAGGATCGTGTTCTTCTTTTGTTTGTTTTTGTTTTGTTTTGTTTTGTGGGGTGAAAATATTCACAGAATTCTGGAATCCCTTCAACAAGGTGGATAGAATACGTGTAGGGAAAGTCCCACTGTGCTTCTGCCTGAGGGGTTGGATTGAGAGTCTCTATTTCTAGCCTCAATGTTTTATTGACTCCCCTTGCCCAGTATCCCATAAATGTCTTTGTCCATCCTCCACTCTAGACCATACGTCTGTAGTCAAAACATCTTTTAACCATAAAGCACAAATGATGAAATTCTTCCTTCAAAACATTAGAAGTGTTAGTCTGTTTTAGAGGCGATGGCCCGAGGGCATGGAGACATTCTCCACCTCGGCTCACAGAGAGGATGCCCTGTTCACCTGGCTCATGGCTCTTCCCATCCAATCTGAATCCTTCCAGCCCTCTAGGAAGAGGAGCTGACTTTTATGATCTGAGGCATATGTATGTACTCTCCTGGTTGTCAAAGCAGTAGGAGTTCTGGCCCGCAGTGGCAGGGACCATGCTCCTAGTACTTCTGTGGCTGAGAACTGATGACTGAGGCTCTGATTCCATGCCCCTCCCCCCTCCGGTCATGGGTGCTTCACACCGCCCTGCTTAGGATCCTGTTAGCACTTTCCCAAATGCACTTAGCTCCTGATTCATGGGAAAGGATGGCTCATTGATTTGGGCATCCGATGCAGGGCTGAAAGCACCAAAGTTAAGTGAGAAATACGCTTTGTTCCCTTCACAGAAGGGATATTTGCGCTGTCCCCATAGCCCAACAAATTAGTAGACTAAAAGTCCAAGCCCAGAGACTCATCTAGGGCTGTGGAGGCAGCTCAGGGGGTAAAGCACTTGCACAGACACAAGGACCTACGTTCCGATCGCGAACACAATTATAAAATAGTGTGTGTGTGTGTGTGTGTGTGTGTGTGTGTGTGTGTGTGTGTGGGTGGGTACGTGCCTGCAAAGCCAGCACTGGGAGCTGGAGATGGGAGGTCTCAGAGGCTAGCTGGCCAGCTGAGGTGGCCAGCTGAGGTTGGCGGCCTTACCTCTGACTGGGTTCCGCAGTAGGACCTGTTCTTAGGGGACAGATCTGGGATCACAAACTGGTAGTAACCTCCTTCATGGACCCCGTTGTAGCACATTCCCCCGAGCGCCAGCTGATGTACTTCCCATCCATAGGGACACTCAGGGATTTTAGTGATGATGGTTTTGGGGTAACAAAATACAAGGATGACATCTGGAAGAGAACACACGTGGTTTGAGTCAGACACGGCCAGCAAATGTAAAATCGTGTTCTTGCTATTCACCAGCTGTGCTGGGTTTCCCCAAACTTCAGCCACTGAAATGATTCTTTTATAACTTAGGCCAGATATAATAGCATCAGTATTTAGTATTTATTTAATTGGATCCAGTTTTTTTTTTTTTTTTAGGTGTCACTTTGTATTAGAGCCAATGATTTCTTTTCTCTCAGCCATACTGGATCTTAAACACATAGCCTCATGCTTCTAGGCAAGAACTCTACCACCAAGCTATCACCCCAGCCCTAAAACATTTACTTGGTTTTAAAGAATACCGCTGTATGTATTCCCATGAAAATGCGATTTCTTGTCATTTAAAATGTCCGATGCATCATTTCATGCTCAATGCTGCAAAACATCACTTAAAGGCTCGGAGCATTCATTGAATAGTCAAAAATGTAAAAAAGTGGCCCATCATATAGAAGAGGAAGGAAATATCCTCTAATTTGAAAAAAAAAAAAAAAAAAAAAAAAAAAAGAGTTGTTTCCCCCAGTCCGTTTTTGCTTCCTGGGAGAGGATGTCTGCTTGGCACTGGGGGCTTCTGTGAGCCCACTTAGCGATGACGTTTTACCCTTTCCTAACCAAGCCATCTTGAAGCTTGGATGGCAGCAAGGTGGAGACTAGGGGCCCCCTGTCTGGGGAAGCAGTTCGGTACTGGGTACCTGCTTTATTCGGAATGCATGACTTCGCCGAGGCTTCCGCAAAGAGCACCAGCAGGATGAGGGCCCTCACCACCATTGCGTCCCAGGAGCTAAATTCTGCCAGGTGGCCAAACCAAACAGGCCGAACACTCCCGTCTCCTCCGGGCCCCTGGCCTCCAGTGTTCTGTATCGGAAATAGGAACGGAAAGTTTAAGTCAAGGGTGAGAGCACATTATCATACAATCTTGCGGGGGGGGGCTTCCAGGGGGGACCCTTGATGCTGTCCGGGCTCATACCACTGGGCAGGTTAACGCCACAGGCGGTTGCTCATGTTGCTGTCTTTTTCATTCTCTCTGGAGTGTAGATGCTCTCTGCCGGATGCTCCCCAAGCCTCCAGCCCTGGTCCCACTTCCTCCTTATATATCCAGAGGGTGTAAAAGAAACCAGGTCCAGATAAGTCACAATGAGTGCACATTGCCCACTGCAGGCAGAATAAAGGGAACTTGGTACAGTATCTGACGGCAGCTCAGTTACCTCCTGAATCTCATTTCTTCTCCTTTACAGACTTAGAAATCCCGTCCCACCCCCTCTACCGCTGCAGCCAGGGTTGGAGAGGGAAGATAGAGCTTTCTTTCTCGGGCAAAAAAAATCAAAATAACAAACAAACAACCTTCTCATGGAGACAAACATTTTCCGTAATGTCCTAGGTAGTAATTCTCTTTTATATTGTTTTCTGATTCTATTTCTTGCTGATTTATTTTCATATAGGAGAATGAGATTTTGAATCTAAAAGAATTCCAGTCTGGCATAATTACTTCTGGAAGTAAAATAAAACATGGGTTGTATTAATGTAAAACAAACAAACAAACAAACACAAACCTTAAGAATGACTTTCCCCCCAGTGTTTCTTGATGCCTGTAACTTCATGGTGAAACACAACTTTAAAATGCAAAGCCTCAGGCTTCGAAGCTTTATTAGTCTCTCCCAAAAAGAGTTTTGAAGGGACTCTCTTGTGAATCAGTCTTCAATCATCCAACCTGAGCTTGCTCTAGTCAACACTGAGGATGCTGGTGTGGTGGGTGTTCCAGACATATCCCTGGGAGTACTTTCATGTTTCAGTGACATTGGGATGTACCTAACAGTACTAGAATAGAGTTGTCTTATGATTGAATCTCAGAATTAACAAAATAGCTCCAGGAGAAGCCATTAAAAATTCCTGGGACTCAGCTTCCTTCTCTGCAAAATGGAGGCCATCACGCTGGCTGGTCATACCCCAGGGCAGGGGCAGAGCCATGAGATGAAGGCTCTTGCTAAATGGCAAGGCAGCATATACACACTTTTATGTGAAAAGGAAAATCCTAGTTTCTGACAACACGCACACACTCGTTCCTTGAGTCCTGCTGCTTTCTGTTAAAACAGCTGTACGTGGTCCCGTAGACTTCAGGTTTGTGCAACAGAAGGCATGTCTGTTTTGATGACACACAAGCAATGTAGTTTATAGATATGAGCCAAATGGGCGGAGGAAGATAGCAGGAAGGGACGAGTTCAACTGTTTTAACACTGGGATGGAATTCAGTGCAGCCTGGAAATACCAGCAGCAGCTTGCATGGGCTGCTGAGCAAAACAGAGCCGCCGAATCTCACATGTGGAGTTTGATTTCTTTTCCCCAGGGCTTAGCATCATTTCTCTTATCTCCTTTTTATTAAACATCAGTGGTGTCCTTACAGTAAGTTGCTAGCCTCTCTCTGCACTTGACCCCGGAAGACACAGGTAGCTTACAAGTTCTTAGAAGTTGTTTCTTCCTCCCCTCTCTAGGAACTAGTGTAAGAGCAAGGTTTGTGTGTGCTTGGAGCGAAGGAAGGGCCCTGGGTTGGATAAGTGATTACCCATGGCAGACAGTTCAAGAGCACCCTTCTGCTTGTGCTGGGACTAATGTTCCCATTGCAAGAGGATTCTGTTATCTTTAAATGCACACTTCTTTACAGCCCGCTCTGACCCAGCCAGGTCAGCAGTAACTCCAACCTCATGGAGAGGGTGGTCTTGGAAATGCTACTTCCCTGTCTCTAGTGGAGGTTGAAAAGATGCTACAGGGGTGATGATGGGCTAAGGCTGAGCTGTAAGATGCCTACCTAGAGCCCAAAGACCACTCTGACCATTTATTGGCTGTATGTTTGTTATTGGGCAGGTGCTAGATTCTGTGAGCCTACGTTTCTTCCTCTCTTGAAAGGGAGTATTAATGTTTGCAATACATTGTTGTTCAGAACATTAAATGAATAATGCTAATGCTTATGTTACACGCACAGACATTTACTCATTGAAGATGAGGCGTCCAGAAAGCCTTTTGTGCCTTGTAGAGTTGGCTAGGAGTGGGTCCTGGTATGGGGAGGAATCAGCTTTACTGATGCCAGGGCGTCATACACCAATATGATGGTTCTGGAATTAAACACCATGGCTCTGCTGGGTTCCAATGGTGTGGCCCTGGGCAAGTAACTTGACCTCTTTAAACCTTTGGTTTTAAATCTGTAAAATAGGCTCCTCATCGCCCTCGGTTGATCCTAGCACATAAAGGAACAGTCCTATAAATTGCTTAGCATAGCGCCTGTCACAGACTCAACAGCGAAGACTACTTGCTGTAAGCATGAGCAGCCGAGGTTGGTGTCTTCAGGCTGGGACGGCGACGGCTTGTCCCGTCCCTACTGTTCCCAGATGAACCCCAAGTGTTCCCATGGTAACAGTCTTCTCTTTGGAAGCCCACCCTAACAAAAGAGCAGGCACTTTTTGGTCTGTAGAAAGGTCTCATCAGGATAAAATTTGGGGACAGAGAAAGAGATCTCTCCTACGATTTCTCAGAGCAGAGACTCAGCTAACAATCAGGTACACGATACTGCTTTCAAGGAGAGGGGGAGTGGGGTGGGGTGGTGATTCTGCTTTTGTGGCAGGCTGGTCTCTGGATGTTTAATTTGCATAAGAGACAGAAGGGGACCATATGTGCTTGGGCCAAACAGTATTCGATACTGGTCTTGATAAAAAAGGCAGGAGGCATCTATTTTCTGTGGTAATTACCTTCCACTCTTGGGTCCCACTCAATCCTCTCTTGGCTTTTCAACACTCTTCCACCCCAGATGCCCTTGGAGTGACAGGGGCGGCCCCTGCAAATGGAATCCAAAAACAGACCCCTGGCTCAGGCCGTTGCAGATTCTTCAAACAGGAAAATGGGCTGAAAGGTTTATCAGCCCTAGGATTTTGAAAGAGCCCATCAAAGAGAGTTTCATGGAAAACGTGCCCAAAAGATGAGCTCGTCTTTCCTGTATCTTTGTTTTATGAATCGCTAGGCAACAAAGGGTACCTTTTCTGTTTGAAGGGCCTGAGTGATTTTGGAGAGCCAGCTTAGGCACAAAATGGATGCCCTTGCAAATGCCAATCAACATTTTGAAATGAAATCAGACGCAAGGGTCCAGGAGGGACGAGCTGCGGTGGACCCTGCAGAAGTAAGAGATGGGGCTTTCAAGCCAAGGCTACTAAGCGTGCTTTGGTGTTTAAAAGTTGCTTCATTAGCTTATTTTTTTGGTAGCACACTGTTTTGAGTTCATTAAATATTGGGCTTGTTAAATGGACCCTGTTGTTCCTTGTAAGCTCAGATCAAGCCTTCTTTCATTTTGTGGGAGGTTTTTGGCCAATTTGCCACTGGGAATGAGCGATTCTCCAGAGAAAGTGTACTTGTGAAGGGAACTTGAGGGTCAAGGAAGGACCCACTGCTCATAGAGCATCATTGAATCAGAGCCAGGAACCACTCCTCCCCATCCCACACCTGACCTTGTAGCTCCTCAGACACAGAAGCCTATGGTGTCCGTTAACTGAAGTGCACAGTCAGACCTGTTCAACAGTCCCCAGGGCTGACTGAATGATTAGAACTGATTATACAGAACTGTTATGTATTAGGATGGGAGGCCAATTGTCTTGAGTGACTGGTCCCTTAAACAGCCATTAATTGCCCACTTCTGTGTGAGCTAACATCCTTTTGACTATTAGGTAGACCTTTCATAAGGCACAGACTGACTCCAAGAAGTCAGCAGGCAGCATCTGCATCCTACAACACAGACTTTTGTGTCCACTGCTACATTTGAAAGGTGCCTTGGTTTATGGCTGTCTTTGTTCTGCTACTGTAAAGTTACAGGAGCTGCTACCTCACTGGGACATCGTATTTGGGGTACAAGGCAGAAGAAAAAGAGAGGACTCCACTACTCAGTGGCCATGGAGTCAGAGTCAGGCTTCAGTTTCTTCTCAAATGCCCACAAACTCCAGGTGGCCTCCAGTCAAATGAGTACGCAGGACACATACTGCCATCCCCCCGTTTTGCATCCATGTTAGAGATCACTAATCAATACATTCTTTCCCTCTGATCTGGGACACGACCCCAGGAGCATTCCCAACACTGTGCTCCAACAGACAGTAGCAAGCTACTGGAAATAACACCAGGATGGAAACGCATCACTTGATTCCCAAAACAAACCAATGTGCTGCTTCTAGGGTTGAACAGTTCGCCCTAGAGCACCATCCACTCCCCTCTACATCTGGTTAGGGCAGAGGTAGCTGCTGTGCTTTTTACACAAAGTCCCTTTCTCCAGAGTGAAAGCTCCAGCAAGGCAAGGGCTGTGGCTGGGGTGTGCTCAGCTCCAGAGCCTTAGCTCCTACACAGGTCATCGCATGTAGCTGATCTAGTAGATAATTTGCTGAATGAGTGGCACAAAAGGCTTTGGAACAAGTCTAATTACTCGTGTGTGTGTGTGTGTGTGTGTGTGTGTGTGTGTGTGTGTGTGTGTAAACTTCTACTGTAGTAGGTTTACATATGATCCCTCAGATGACCCTTAATGTTAGTTGTCTCTCCCACAATCCTTCCCTTTCCTCCTTTTATCTTCATTTAACCCTCCCATTCCAGTCTCTCCCCTGCAACTATAAAGTCTATTTCCCCTTCCTTGGAGAACCTTCCCACCCTCCTCCCTACTTTGACCCTAACCTCTGTGGTTATTCAGATAATAGTACTCCTCCAAAAAGTTTAAAAGCTAACAACATATGTAAGAGAACACATATACCATTTGTCTTTTGGGAAACAGACAAATCTTAAGAGAGAGCTCTGATGGTCACTTCAGGGTCTGAAAACCCTCAATAAATGTTTAGTTAGCTTTC